AATAGTTTCTGAATACGACGAAAATAGTTTCTGAATACGACGAAAATAGTTTCTGAATACGACGAAATAGTTTCTGAATACGACGAAATAGTTTCTGAATACGACGAAAAGAGTTTCTGAATACGGCGAAATAGTTTCTGAATACGGCGAAATAGTTTCTGAATACAAGAGTTTCTGAATACAACGAAATAGTTTCCGAATACAACGAAATAGTTTCTGAAGACTAGTTTCTGAATACAGTGCAGTTTCTGAATCCGACTTTGTTCAGCACCGGCACCCTGCCTCCACCACGCGCACAGCCAGCACCCAGCACCGGCACCGGCACCCTGTCTCCACCATGTGCACAGCCAGCTCACAGCACCAGCACCAGCACGGGCAACCTGTCTCGAAAGCGCGCGCAGGCAGATCATTGTTATTTGAAGTAAGAACTCCATAGCTTCGCTATCTGCGGAAAAAAGAGAACGTTCAACCAGAGAGACAGGTCAGTAGAGGCCCCAAGCGAGTGAGAACTGAGAATACAGATTCTTGAAAAAATGGAATAGATTACTCTAAAATTGAGTTGTTTTTAATATAACAATAAAATCAACAAAACTCTTCAGGAAGATGTATCTCTGTCCTTTGAGGCCCGTTCGTAGTCCTGTTCCGCAGGTCTTGGGTGAGTCTTTTCTGCCCAGTCACGCCGCCCCAGTCCAACAGACAGCCGCCACATGACTGTCGCCCGCAGCAATGTCGCAGGCCAAGATGGGGAAGCTGGCCTGATCCAAAGAGGTGCCAGCTACTGTGTCAGGTGCTGACTCCAGGCACTGTGGCATGCAGCGGGATATGTCAAAATCCATTTGGGATGAAGAGGGCAATGATTATTATAAGCCTTTCCTGACCCACACCTGTCTTCTTCGTTGCTTCGTCGATTCTAGATGTCCAACAAGACCACAGCCTCGAGCCTAACAAAAGTACGTAGCCTAGATTCTGGAAAGGCAAGGTGACACTTTCAACTCAAGAACCCCTTTCGGGAAAAGCAACCACTTTCAACCAACACAAGCGCTTTGAACATATTCTTTGGGGTTCCAGCTGTGTCTAACATTTAGATGCGGAGCCGGGAGTCCAACGGCCATTGATCAAACCTCGCAAAGCGAGGTAATCAAAACAACACACTACTGGGATCACCCACTTCGAATGGTTTAGAGACCCCCCTGACCATGTACTTTCCATCCATCAACCACCCTTTCAGTGGTGCTGGTATTGTTTCATATTGTTTCTGACTTTTGGATTGCTGCAGAAGTTGTTCCAGGATCGCTGTTCCGTACTTTGAAGAGGAGTCGGGCGCCCCACAAAAAAAAGTCGAACCGTTCTCTACGGGTTCCGCCCACCTGGCCTCTAACCTGGCGGGTTCCGCCTGCGATGGATCGAATGAATTGGAAGCATCCTCCCAAATTGACCGTCGTGCTTCCCGACCCACCTTGCTGGGCCGCCGGTACGACGTCAGACGTGTGGTCTCCTGGAAGACGTGTGGTCTCGTCCCATGAAAGCTGGCGGGGTCGAACAGGCTGGGAGTGAGACGAAGCAGGGAGTGAAGCAGGCGAAGCAATAGGAATTCAGATCTAAATTCAGGATGATTTGCTGAATTTGAACCATTCTTCTCAACCCCCCTGAATTTAGATCTGAATTCCTATTTAACCATTCAGAAGGGGGGTTTGAACCATTCTTATCTTAACTCTCTCAACCCCCCTTCCTTCCATTTGGAACCCCCTTCCACCAAACGCACGTCCTCGGACGCCCGTCGTCCGGACGACTCCGGACTCTCCGGACGACTCCGTCGTTGGACTCACGTGGATGGAGCAGTTCTGAGTCAGATGACCATAGTATAGTTATGCATACTAGACTACCAGGTTCAGTCATGGCCTCTATAGTTATGCAGCAGATAGTTCATGATAGTCTTAATGATCATGAGAGTTTCATGAGAGTTTCATGGTATTTTCACGTCCAATCACCGTGCATGACCCGACGCACGACACACGGCCCACGCACGACCCGACGCTTGTGCGCCGGAACGCCACACGATGAGAAGCACCCGGACCATGGGCTAACTTCCAGAGAGCTCAGCATTTTTCAGACCACCAATCCATGGTGCTGCCTAGAATCAGTACTCGAACATCCAAACCATCAGACCCCAATGAAAGCCTCTCTATACCCAGTGGTGAAAATCGCCAGGTTCTTTGACTTGCACATTGCTGTGAAGCCTCATGAAGTAGCTCAGCAGCCTCGTAGAGCATTCTTGCGACCAAATTTAAGCTCACAAGACACCCTAGGACACCGGAAGAACCCATGACCATGACCGACCGACGGAGCGGAAACTCCAAAAACACCGAATTGGGCCTCTCTCTCCGTATCTCTCCCAAAAAACCGTCCAAAAAGCTATCCAAGATCGTCGATTTTCAAGCACAGATCTTCTAATATGTGTAGCCGTACTCATTTGCTGGAAGAAAGCCGCAGAGTTTTGAGCATAGAAGTGCTCAATTGACTCAATTGTATTCCTTAATTATATAGTCCTCCTGAAGCTTCAGAACCGGCCCAATAGGAAGGAAATCCCAATAGTTAAGAACATTCTCCAATGGTGGAGTCCTCCTATCACATCCCTGAAAATATCCCTTCGCCCGCCACAAAAAGCGCTCAGCAAAGACGCTGAGCTGACAGCCCGGAGGTTCCTGATCCAAGGCTCGTCCCCAGAGATAGAGGTCCCCCTCGCGGCTCATGGCGATGCTGTGCCCATTGCCACAGGCCACCTGAGGAGGGAGGAGGAGGCCACCGGTGTTGGCGTCACGGTGTTGATTTTTGGTGGAAAAAGGAGGTGGACAGGGGCTGAGTCGAACCCTCTAGAGGTGATGTTATGGGATGTGAAAAATCGCAGAATTTCACAAGGTGAAGCGTTCTTTTTGTATCAAGGGCATTTGCAAGTCAAGGGCAGATTAACAGGATGTCAGATGCTGGTTTGGTGGGATGGCCGAAAAACTACACATTGTTGTATGACCGCAGGAGTGGTCTGCAAATGGGTCAAACTTGTTACCAAGCTCAAGAGCGTTGAGAGCTTGGCTCGCCGTTTCCCGTTCATTTCAGAAAGCTTCACCGTCCACGGTCCACCTGTTCAGGCTGTTTTCATGCCAGAGGTTAAGTGACTTGAACTAGGACCCTACCAGGGTACCTATGGCATGGGATAGTCTATAGGGTCCTGGCCCACCTCTGAGTGTGAACAACTCCCGCCCCGACCGACGTCATCCACCGGGAACCGACCGTAACGCGCTCCCGGCTCCCCGCGCCTTGGACAGATGGACCTGGCGGGCGCGCGATCTCCGGGTCGGACCACTTCGCAGCTCGGAGTTCGCCCCTTCTTCTCCGGTGAAGAACACGACGAGTCGATGGGACGAAAGGAACATGATGTTTTACAACATGTGCGACTGAGTCGAGCTGAAGAGCTTGGTGGATCATTGCGTTGCTTCGCTCACCATTGAAAAGATACGTTGGTTGGCAGTTTGCCAAGTGGTCTCATGAAGACCCATGGACTCTGAAGAGCACAACGGCGTTGGCACCTGTGACCCGATGTCACCCCATTGGAGACTGTTTTGCCCATCCCATCGTGACAGAGCAGTTCCACAGCACATAGCGGCTGCATTGCCACATAGCGGCTGCGAGCGAAACCACGAGTCGGTCTTTTGGAACAAACCGGTGAAACACCATGAGTCGACTCTTGAAACGCGCCACCGGTGCCCGGTGCCGTGCTTTTCGAGCGCAACCTCCGGTGCCGTGCCAAGGCACCGTCCATAGCACCTGCAAGGGAGTCGCCCTCGTGAGCGGCGCCGGCTTCGTCTCCAGACGGGCGGTCTCCTGCGGCGCGAGCCATGCTTCGCCCGATGGAAGGTGTCACTCTCTGGTTTCGCGGGCTTCGTGGGTCTGAGGTCAGGTCATCAATGGTCCTCCGAGTCTTAGGCCCCATCCACCGGGATTCCATGAGTCTTTCAAGGAGTCTATTCATGGAAGCGTCATCTCCCGGAGGGGCCTCCTCCTTAGGTCATGGGTAGCCCCTTTCTATACGGTGTGTGCCAACCCTTCCTTGTGTGGGATGAAGACCGAGAAAAATGACTGTTGATGCCGAATCCTATAGATGCGCAGTTGATGAGCATTACATTTGTGTGTCACTCATTCAGGAGAGCAATCGAATCAGATATTGATATCTGATATAAGATTAAAGAATGTCTTTCAGAGAAAATTTACAATTCATGAAACTTCGTCACATACCATTTCGACGAGTTGCCCCAGGCAATGGTGACCATATCAAGTTTTGTTCCAGAGTTCATGGGTGGCCAGGTATTGATTGACATTTCAACCAGATCTTCCAAGTACATCTTTGATAAACAGCTGCTATGCATCTACATCCAACTCAATGGACCAAGCCATCATTGGTAGGTTCCATCATGGATGTGTTCATTCAATAAAATCATGCAAAATCCATCAAGATCAGTTGCACAGTCACATTCAACATGTCTGCTCCGCAGTCCAAACCACAAAGATTATCAAAGAATATCAAAGATTGTGTTTTTTAAATGGCACACATAAAACATCCCGGAACGTCTCCTCACTTTCGGAAGGCCAAGCTACCTGAGAATGGCCGTGAAAAGGCGCCGATCGACGTTTAAAAAGAATCACGAAAGGCCTCTGGAGGCCATGAATGTCTGAACTTCAGTCTGAACAGAACAGCTCATAGAAAAATGGCCCATGCCAGCAACTTCCCAGGTGTCTAGCCCTTAGAGGTTGAGGAGTGTCCATTAACCACCCCTATCCGGGGGCCCGGATAGAGACGGCATCTGTTAGAGACAACCAAAAAACCTCAAAGAAAAAGATTTCTGGTGTTCTGCTCATCGAGCTCAGCTATGAGTTTTGTCTAAAAAATTGAAATGGTCGTCTTTTAAACAGATGCTGTTTGCTTGATCAAAACGTCAAACGGGTGGGGTTGCTCACACAGTTGGCACCTTGATATCCAAACGGGTCAGAGTTTGGCGCACGAGTGGAGCGATCTGAGATGAAGCCAACACATGCCAAAGATTCAAAAGCCAATGGCGCTCCTTCAGAGTACCTGAAGAGACTCTCTCCCATGTGGAACACTTCCCTCTTGTCGAGAAGCCGAAAAAAAGAATGCAGTCATGCTGCGCCAGAGGCCCATGGATCACCCATGGCCCAAGCATGCCCTGCGTGGTCCAAGAGCAACAAGTGGTCCTGGCGCGACTGGACTCGTGGTGACAGGTCTCCGGTCCTGGTGACAAGTGTCGTCCCCTGCCTTCGGTTTGCATCACCACCATGGGAGGTTTAAGAGTTCATCACCTTTCAATTTGGCCCATTGGCCCTGAGAAGATCAAGAACCTCCATCTTCTGGACTGGATTCAACGTGTTTTCAAAAGTTGTTCGAGCAGGGGACAGCCACAGCCACGACCCAAGAGCGTCTCATCCCCAAACATCCCCAAACCCACCTCCTCTCCAAGCAGGCAGCGGTCCTTGCCACAACTCACCGACCGGATCAGGGGTCGTTGTCGTGGGCAGAGCAGAAGAGGATGGGAGCCGCCTGCAGGGGATGGTTTTGAGCTTCTGGCACTTGGCGAAGGTACCAGGGCCAGGAGCCCCAAAAAGGTCGAAGCGGCTTCGACACAGGTGGTACAGGTGGTCCAAGTCACCACGGTCATGAAGGCAAGCCCTGATTCAGAGACCCTAGGATTCCAACCACCTTTAATTAAAGAGGCTGTACCGAACATTCCCGAACAACCTTCGTTTTAGTCTGGACTTTACACTACAAAACCAGGTCAACCATCTCTTTAATGGTCGGAACGGAAGACGAACTGGGAGAGATTGTCATAGGTTGTCCAGTCATGTAGGTCAGTTGATTCCTGAACCCCCCCAATTCAGAATGGTGTTTACCATGTATATATACTACCATGTGTTATCTCTTCATGTGGAGGCTTTGATCAGATTCGCTAGCCCCGGTTCCCGGGAAGGCTTGGCCCCACCGGCCCCCCACGTGTGGGGTCGGACGCCACGGGTGACGTCCGACCAGCTGGGTCGCCCGGAATGTGTTGGTGGGTTGATGAGGCGATTCTTAGGGTACCGCCTGATCTCTGGGCAGATTCGTGCAGTTCTTCAGAGCGTTTTGAGTCGGGTCGTGGGTCTGTGGAAGGCTGTCACCCTCCACCCGAACCCAGCATGGTTCCCTTATTTCGGTCACCAGGTTTGGACAAATGGATTCCCCACAGACATCCAGACCCCTAAAAAACAAGGAGAGGCTTCATTCCTTCCCTAGAATCTAGAAGGTTTTCCTCCATATTCCAAATAAGTGGGTGTGTAGTGTGTGTGTAAAATAGGGAGACCTCACTGGAGACCTCCCAAAGATCTCGTGGAAGAAGAGAAATAGACAAAACACCTGTCATTGGTTAGGGGTATCTCAGTATCCCGATTAAAATACCTATACCTATAAATTACACACCCAAGTCAGTTCTCCTGTCCCTTGGCAAACCATCCACTGCGCGCGGCGGAAGAAAATCATGACCTCCGCAGTGGAAGAGCTCCTCGAGCTGCTCGATGCCTACAGTCGGCATCCAAGACCACACGGTCAGCGGGTTGCGGGGTCCCCCAATGGGAAGAGTCCAAACTCCAATGGCTTGTCATCAGACATTGGCAGCAAAAGAAAGAAAGAAAGAAAGAAAGAGAGAAAACAGAGAAAAAAGAGAAAAGAGAGAAAGAGAGAGAGAGAGAGTGTGTGTGTGTGGCCAAGCCACAAAACAACGGTGTTGCAAGCTGCAAGGAATTTGCAGAAGAATCATCCCGAGCTCCGTTTTGACCAACCAAACAACATGATATGATATCAATTGATATCATATGATATCATGTGTCTCAGTCTTTTTGCCCTGGCTTTTGGATGCTTTTGGAGCCCTCAAGCAAAGGCATAGAGGCCTTGCCTAAAAAGAGATCATAGATTTTGACATGAAGCCACCAACTCACCCAATACATCTGTGATTAGACTGTCCCTCACACATCCTTTTATCCCCCATCCTCGGCTCAAACATCACCATCCACGCAGTGTATTCGCGCCTCCCTCAGCTCTTTGTCGGCCTCTTTCAGAGGAAGCAGTCGTTCGGTCGTCAAACTCCAGAGGTTCAAAGCCAAAACGGCGGTCTTGAGATACATCATGTTCCAACTACAACTAGCAAACATCGAAACTCTCAAAAACGGTGATGCCGGAATGAAAGAATTCGCGAGAACTCGCAGGTGTCTGAACAAAGCATTTCGGAAAAAGAGCTGGTGGTGGCGGAGTTGGGGATAGCTTCAGGCCTGATGCCAAGACCAAGGGCTGCCAAAGCACTCCCATGCTGGGCCGAAGCAAGGCTTCCTCAGTGAAACGTTTAAATGGGAGCCTCAGATTGGGTGAAAAAATCACTGGTGTTCATTCCTTCCCAAATGCGCGGTGGATAGGTGTGCAAATATGGCCCACATGACCGGGCGGATTCAGCAACAAATATATAGTCATCGTTATCATCCCAATCCCCCGGTCTATTTGTGAGATGTGCTCGTCCAAAACGTTTTTGCTCGCGTACTACGCTGCCGCATGTCAGCGCGTGTCTCACTTCTTAAATCGCCACATGGGTTGGGGAGATGTCCTGACTTTTGCTGAGTCCATGACAGCATTTTTTTATGACCATCCGAGCGGTTTTAGGAACTCATGACTAAACTTACTGTTTGGAGCAAGCTCTGTCCTGTTTCCATCAGTCGGAGAAATACGAGTCCCAACAGTACCCCGTATATCACATGTTGCTTGACTCGTTGGCTTTTTGGATGGCCAAAGGCTCCGTGCGCTCCTGCAGAAACAAGCGATGCAATGGGCAGGCGGGTCCCACCGGCGGTGCCGGCGTGGAGGGCATCCGCGTCACGGCCTCCTGACGTGACTGGCGTGCAGCCCATAGTGATGTCCGCTCGAAAACGGAAAGGCTAGAGGGGTCAGCGGTTTACAAACTGGAGGACGCTACTAGGAGCAAAGGGCATCGCTACTAGCAGCAAAGACGCTATGAACGGGGCTCATGGCCTTACTACTAGGAACAAGAAGCTACTAGGAGCTTCTGCCATGGTACTGTAGTAAACAATTGGTGGTACACGACACGGGGAGTACAGCCATCGATGGGAGCATCTATCACCTCTGGTTGGTGATAGACTAAGGGACCAACAAGGGGGATGCGAGGAGAGGTCGGCCTCCCTCCCTCCCTCCCTCCCTCCCTCCTCCAAATTCTTCGGTCCAGTTTAGTGAACCCCATGTCGAGTCTCTGCTTTTGAAACTGCAGCGACTTCCCGCTTTGAGACGAAACCTGCGACTTCCCGCTTTGAGACCAAATAACAGCGGCGCTCGAACCAGGCGGCCCGGGTGGTTTGGTCCGTTTCTCCCACTACCCGGTCCCGACCGCCGGGACCGTCACACCGTCCCCCCTCCTCGTTCTCGACGTGTTCCAGCAAGCGCTGCAAAGCCACCACCTTGGCGATGGCCTGACTTCCAGAAAGGAAGCGCTGGATCAAGCTGAAGAAATCTGAGTAAAGCTGGTACACTCCTTGGAATCATCATGGAAGTGGAAAATTGAAAACCACCCGTGTCTGAAGGAAAATGGTCATCCAAAGTCCTTCCATGATTCCAGCGTACCAGCTCTTGGACACGGAAAGAGCGGTCCAAATCGTAAGGGTTCAGATCATGTGGCACCCATCATGTCCTACATTGGGTGTTTGGATTGTTCCTTTTGACAAGTCACCCAGTTCATCCCAGTTCATACCTTTTGTATCCTTTCTTTCCATCCCAGTCGTTCATCAGAACTTCTTACCATGTTGTGGTGTTCACTTTGACAATGACGAAACAGGCAACCCTCCACACCTTCATCTTCCGCGAGGCTTGCGCCAAGCACGCCAGCGGCTCAGAGGCTAAACTTCCTGAGAGCACCTGCCAATGAAAAAAATCAGAGACATTCACAGGCGCATAAGCTGGCGTAATTGATCACCCTAAGCAAAACCACGTCGGAAATGTTTGGAAGCGGTGAAGGGACTTACCTCATTTGGAGACCATGCCAGATATATCGTGCAGCGGGTGGGATATCTTCTGCGTTCCACGATTTCGATTTGGGATAGCTCAATGAAGTGCACTCCATGAAATAAATACTTTGGATTTTGGAGGTTTTCCACATCCATGATGATTTCAGGGAATGTAATGGTATGGTAACCTGGTAACTACTATAAAGGGCTACCCAGGTACTTGGGATCATCTGATACGCCTCCAGACAAAGTCTGGACCGCAACACCTGATTGAAGGAAGATTCCGATGGTCCGTCAGGCTTGCAAGGAGTGCCGGTTTGTTCCAAGTCCAATAAATTGCCCACAACATTTGGAGAAGCAGCTACAGAGATTCAAGGTGAATTTCTGTGTTTATGCATGGAGACGATGTTGGATGATCCTACGACCTACGACGGGGGTCGGGTCAAAAATGATGGTTGGCAAAACAGGCGAAACCGAGACCCAACCAGCCTGTACCAGGAGGTCCTTCAAACGAACTGGGTCGAAGAAAACCAAACATGTGCCTCGGCGCCTGTGTTTTGAACAAAACACGGGAGTTTCACAGAGCTCCTTGAAGGCTAGAACGCTATAAGATTTTGTCAGTTCTGCTTGTGAACTGCACCATGGCCACCCCCAATCAGTTGTGGATTGCATGCCTTGCTTTGACAACACGGGCCATCAATTTGGCAAAAGCAGAGAAACCCTCAGTTCGGCAAATCTGACTTGACCTTTCGGTTCCCACACAATTTTATGGAACATGAGTTTTTCCGGAGAGCGCCTGAGCGAAGGGTTCTTTTGAAGCAAAGCAGGCGCAAAGACATGAGCATTATTTCTATGCTTAAAATTACATAGCATCACAGCTCATCAACTTACATCCGCACAGATCCAGAAATGCAAATCTTCACATCTGCACATCATCACATCCGCACATATCCAGACATGCACATCTGCACATTTCACACCTGTACATACGCCCAAATAAAACCGCCAAACTCACATGGGATGTGCTCCAAAGTTTTCGCTGCAGCCTGCAACAGCAAGGAATGAACGCTGTCATCGATCAACTTTTGGAGAAACTCGCCAACATGTGCGGAGCCCCGCTGTCTAATCAAGAATCCCCTTCTTCACAAAGAGGAGGAAACTGTCACGCATGTCTTCAACTTCTGCCTTTTCACTCAAGCGAAGTGAAGGCAAATCCACTGCCAAGACCTCTTCGATTGCATGGACCTGCATGGCCAGATCTCGTGCAGTTCTTCCACCCCGTCCTTACCGGTGGACTGAATTGAGCGTTTGCCATAGTACCTTGCGACGTAAAGACTTGCACGTGGAGCACTGGTGGCAAAGGCATGTTGGAAAACACTGATCAAGCAGTGCATTCGGGTGGCATCAGGGCATCCATGGCTTGAAGAACCTCCTCCATGCTCGGCTGCTCCAACAACAGAACAACATCGGAGCAGAGACAGGGTTGCACAAACTGCCACCCTCACGGCTGTGAGTTCTTGATAGTTCTTGATTGACCATGTCCAAATCTCAGCGTTCCAACTCTCGTCAATGGTGTCATGCATGCTTCTCAGACAAGGCACTTGAGTTCATCCTATGAATTTGACAAGGAAACCTTGCAAAGACGTGTCGGTTGGCCACAACACTCTGCACACGGCCTTCCATCGTACAAACAATTTTCTTCCATGGGGCATCTGTGCAATCTCGGCAACCCGAACGGTGGTTCATGTAGTCTGGCTGTAGATCTGAAGTAATTGACGTATAGGAGGAGAGACAATGTGTTCCGTGCCACCAGATGCAGAGTCCTGGGGGTTAAAGACAGCATCTTTCTTTCGGGTAGACTAGAAGCTTGGGCTCAACTATCCAGTTATTGAGAGGCATAGGCATAGTCCCTAGGAAGAGTCAGGGTGGTCACTTCTAGTGACTTCCTGGGAACTGATGATGTTGTGACATATTGTTCCTCTTGAAAATGAAAGTCCAGCCACAGTGGACCCTAATCAACATATTTCTAGAGAAGATCAGCTTGATCACGACACAACAGGCCAAGCCAGCTTGCAGGTACCACCCTGCAAGCTGGCAGGCCACCCAAACTCTAGGTCAGGCACTTGGAGGGCGGGGTTTTGCAAAAGCAGCTCTGCCACCTACTCAGCTGCCAAAGCTTCCTTTAAGCTGCAGGACACAAAGTAACAAAATAACCAGGGAGCAAGGAAGGAGGAGGGTTAGTGTGCTGCTGCACTTGGGCAGCAGGCTGGCCAAGTAGCAGGCGCGAAGTCGCCTGCAAGCCGACTAGCTCACGCCTGAACACCAGCACAACACAGCATTGGGTCTCTTGCTGCTGCAACTTGCTATATAACATATAACATAGGCTTTCTGATCGCCGACTGCAGGTTCGAGCAGGCCATGTCACATTGATGGATAAGTTCCAGTCTGAGGCCCAAGTCAAGAGATAAACCAATCCAATCACAACTGCGACTAACAATTAAGATCAAAAAGAGTGGTCCGAGTGAGGGTCCCTAAGTTACTAAGATAAGGGTCAAGGTCGCAAAATGCGGCCTGACCTGGGCAGTGGTGCGGCTGCGCTCTTGAAGGTGCTGCTGGGGCAGCTCCGGCTTATTGGCGCCAGGTCACGCTCGCCGCCGGAGCAAACAAATTAACTATACTATCATGGCAAGCAAGGCCCTTCTGTGAAAGAAGATGCCATGTATTTTATTCATTAATGCAGTCCAACTTTGAAGGACTACTGCCTGTGAGCAGATGTCAAAATACAACCTTGCCCACTTCAAACACAAATTTCTAAGATTTCCGGCACGTGTTCCATGTTTGAGAGCTTGTTTGATTGCGATGAACCTCCTTCCTCTGCGGTAACTGAGAAGCTATAAATTGTTTGAAACGCCAGGTCTTGACTACTTATACAACGCAACTTGATGTCTTTCCTGAAAATCCTATTCCCTCATCTATCGAACTGCTACCGGACCAGTGGATCTCTCAGAACTCAAGCGGCAAGAGCTGTTGTCCCTCCTTGTCCGATCCCTTCCGAACCTTCCTCCCGTCCTCGGGGATGGCAGAAAGAAACGCAGGTCCACCTGCCATCCCCGACGACTTCAGGCGCTCGCGACATCGCGCGCGGTCCGTGCAGACTCCCTCGGTGTGGGGGGCAGTTCCACCATGGGCAGTTCGAGATGCCGATATGCCACACAGCGAAGACATCTGAGAAGTGCATACTCGCATACTGACATTGCAATTGTGACCAGAATTCTGTCAGTTTGAAAAGGTCAATGGTATTATATGAATTATATGCTTCGTTTCAGCTGATTGATTACATGTTGATTGTACTTTTTTTGCTGAATATACAAATCCACAGTAGGAACACGACTCAGTGAGTACAGCCACTCATTTGGTCGTTTGGGGATGGAACCGCTTTCTTTCTTTCACACCGACCCTCCCAACGCCGCGATCGCGGCGATCGGGGGTTTGGACTCGACCCATGTGAGACACCGGTGTTCCCACCGAACATGAAAGAGAATAGACGAATCCCCGACATGGTCCCGGTCAATCTACCAAGAGTGAAAAGGATGAAACACGCCGGTTAACGGTTGCTCGGTCCTTGGTCCAGTAAAACTCACACTGCGGTGGATCCAAAGAGGGAAAGGTCTCCTTCTCAATTCTCCTGGGAGAGTTTGAGTCCATTTCGATGCAACATGTTCATCCTCCTTGTTCTTTCGGCACAAAACACCAGTCCCACCGAGAACTCATCTTGGAACACACCAGTCCCACCAAGAACCACCGAACACACGAACTCATCTCGACTCATCTCGAAGTACGTGGCCTCCACGCCGGAAGAAGCTACCTGGGAGCAACGGTCTCTCGTCCAACGGAGCGGCGCATGGCGAGTCTCCGAAGCCCCCGGCGCCGCGGCCGAGTCGAGGGAGCGAGTGTTGGGCGAATTGGCTCATGGGCCCATGGGATGCCATGGGATATCCATGCAACTGTGACTAGATTCCTACAGTGATTCAAAAGAGTTCAAACCCACAAATGTTTGGGCACCAACTATTTGTTGCTCTCAAGTTCCAAGAAACAAGTCCAATAAGAAACGGTCCCGTGAAAATTGGTGGAGTGGTGGCAAACCTCCGAAAAAATGGCTTTGACTGTTTGGAGGTATCATTTCAGGATTTCATACCCTTGTCAAGGTAGTTTGGGATCACGACGCCCTGTTTCTTGTTTCCCAGGCTCCTGTGGCATGAAAGGTGGAAAAGACTTCCAGGATGGCTGCAAACACTGTCGCGACTTCGCCGCTCGCGAACTGGAAGACTTCTAAACCACCCACCCACCCACCCACGCACCCGCCTCACCCACCCACCCCAGTCATGCACGCACGCAGGCATGCACTCACTCACACCCTCATGTTCATCCATTCTCCAACCCGACCAGGGCGGGTGGAACCCAATGCCTCCCGCCCTTCGCGAACCGCTTCCCTCGCTCCAAGCGACCGAAGCCCTGCCGCACCTCGCGGTGCCTGGTCCGGTCCGGCGAAGTGAAGGGCGGTGCAGAAAAAGGGGGTCTTTGGGTCAGGCGGCTTCTTTGCTATGTGTATTCCGGGTATTCCGTGAAAAAGAAAAAGGATCGCTTTTTGCAATCTTTTCTCAGGGTTGAACTTGGAACGTCGTGAAATGTTTGGTCTTACTCATTGAAACTCGGCATTTGGGCCTAGTTCGGACACTCCTCCCGGCTGGTTGCAGACATGTATTTGGTTGGTGAAACGTGGTGTGAAACGCTTTGCAAAGTAGCCCATTAGATCTTGTAGCTTGGCTTTGATGCCCAGCCAAGGTGTTACACCAACCTGCAAGGTGTCAGCACCGTCCGCCTGCTGGGCACGGCGCTCAGCACCGCGCCGACCTCACCGGACCGGAGGAGGATGACACCGTGGCACTTAAGCTTCAGGTGAAGATGCATCCAGGGCGATTGATTCAGCAAGAATTGGTCACTGTTTACTTACGGTAGAGTAATCTGTAGTACTTCTATAGTAATTACTTCCCTAAGAATCCGGACTGGCCTTCAGAAGAAGTGCAAGCAACAAGCTAACAAGCGCGATGTGGAAACCATGAAAACACCTGGGTCCGTTTTAAGTAGCCAGGTACAGTAGCAACCACAATTTGCGTGTGTCCCCTTGCATTGGGTTCTCACTTTTTACACACAGCCCGTGTCCATCCAAACTTCTTGCAATCACAAGGCTTGAGAAAATCCTTTCCGCTTTGCAAAACGGAAGCAGAACGGAATGGGCAGCGTTCCAGGCAGCCCTTTCCAGTTTAAGCAACAAACATTCACCCCTGGTAAGGCCAGTGGATGATGCAAACACCGTGATCAGTCCAGGCCGCTGTGAGTGGGGACTTCTCTGTCCAAAACCCTCATGCGACGCTTTTATCAAGTGGTTCTTCAACCTATCCAGCTTCCATGGTCTTCCCATCCAACTCCCAGGTTGCCTCGGCCAGCGAGGCCATCGCATCAGGGCGCCTGGGAGCCTCCCTGGATGTGTCGAGTGGTCGGCAGAGGGCCTCGACTAAAAAATACAGACCTTCCTTTTGTTTCATTCAGGGTCAATCCCTCTTTTTGTGGTCATTGCAGGCCGTGGAGCCGTTCATTCTGTCATTTCATCATTCTCCCATGAGTTCACAGGGACGCATCTGTTTGGTTATAGGGAAAATCATCCATCCGACTTCAAACAGATCGAAACAAATTCCCTTACACCTTTGTTCAAGCAGTTCATTGAATCCAATGTGTCTCCATCTCATTTGGGGTCTTTGCATTGCATTCTGTTTCTGTGTGCAGTTTCAATCCCCAAGAAACGAGCGAAACTCGCTGATCCTTGTCACCTTGCAATGAACCTCCGCATCCCATTGAACCGCCTGTCAAAGCCCGCACGGCCCGCGCTGGCGCTGGGAGGCGGAGCTCCAAGCGGTATGGAGTCCTGAAGGCGTTTGTTATTTGTTTTGGGATCAGCGATCTATCACGGATGGTGATGGATTTAGATGAAACAAAAACATACAAAAACATGTTTGGAGCTGTAGATCACGACTTGGGATATCGACTCGGGATGTAGGTGATGCTACCCGGTAGGCGATATCGTGATTTCTATCAACAAACAGACATGGATGTGAACACATGAGGACTTTGAATGACTTTGACTCATTTTGACTTCAAAAGTAGTGAACGTTGAACTTTTCACAGGCTTTGTGCAGCCAAAAGTGTCTCGCATCGCTTTTTACAAGCCATGACAACCGATCCATGTCGACCTCATTTTGACTGCACCCAGCGTGGCCACACACCTCAAGGTCTTCCGGGCATGTTCAGTGCCCAGACATGACCCGAGAAAGATCCGCATGGACTCATGGAGAGGTGTCTGAGGATGTCTGACTTCGAACCAATCCCTGGGGTGTTTTTAGGGACTGGGAAAGGGCGGTCTTCACACAGCGTCTGGGTAAGTCTCACTTCTGGGAATCTTCAACCTCTCGAACCGACACGGCCGAAGAACGCCCCACGCGATGGGCCCCGGCACCCGCCACAGTGAGGCCCGGACGGCGATCAATCCCCCCGAAACCGTTTGGGCCGGATGTCTTTTCAGTCGACAGCCCGAACGGGGCAGACTCAACAACGTCGGTCCCTGGACTCGTACCCAGGTGCAGATTCGGGACAGCACGAGTCCTATCCGAATTCCTGTTGCACTCTCCGGGCTTCTGAAAAAAGGAAGTAAAAACAAGCAAGCAAACAAACCAAACAGCAACGCCTGTTGCTCTATCCGGTCTTCTGAACTAAAGATGCTTGAGTATGTCTGGTATATGTCTGGTAGTAGTCCCAAGAAAGAAAAGGGTCGATTGCTTCCAATGATGTTCTCCCCTTTTCGGCCCCTCCAGATTCGTCCTCTCGAGCTGTGGTGGCGCTGCCTCCGCGAGCCAGACGAGCCGCTCCACGGATTGGAACCCAATACAGTGGTTTCAGAGTAGATGGCACAAACCCCTACATGTCTTTCAGATGGAGGTCCAACAAAAAAAGACACCAAACTTGGGGATTGTGCCATCTACTCTGAACCCCACGGTGCACCCAAGAAAGTCCGTTCTCCTCTCGTAAAGTATGCGACACAAGCGATAAGAAGTATGCAGCACAAGGTGTCGAGCCTCCAGAACTGGCGTTGTCTTTTGTCTTCTTCTCGGATGTGCGCGGCCTACCCAAGCCAGCAGTGCATGACCCGAGCGTAGGCCGAGGATTCTCCTCCCGCAAATGGATATGCAAAGCATGTAGAAGATTGTAGAACAACTGTGATTCACAAGAGTGTTGAGAGCCGGGTTTCATGTGGCTGCGCTTCTCCTTGTGGCATCCAAACACAGGTCATGGCCCTGCTTGAAGCCGAAAAAACACTCGGCATTGGCAATGAAGTCTTCCTTCCACATGTCCACACCCCGTCCACACCCCAAAAATTGCCCAAGCTTCACATGGAAAACACTTCGACATCTCTTCAGGTGCGGTTCAAAAGTTCAATCCGTTCAAACCTGGATTAACCATAAAATGCGGTGCGGGTTCAATCCAGAAATAATTATCAAAACATCAACACACTTCACCCAAAGGGCCATCACCTCCTTCTCAGCAGGGCGAAGCCCAGCCCGCTTTCGCCCAGCCCGCGCTTGATCGCCCGCCTCGGTAAGCCCCAGGTGGGCGAACTTGGGCCTTCCGTCCACGGCGGCGCCGCCAACCGGGCGAACGAGACGGTGTACGTCCTCCTTCCCGAGGCGTGAGCTGTGAAGTCCAGCCCTACGTCTCGGTCCTGGGTGCATATGGGAAGCACAAAACCCAAGACCCAAGATCAGTTGTTTGTCATATGGGTATGGGACACATGGGACCCCGGATCTTCGCATCCAACCATGCAACATGTCTGTCCAACTTGGCTGGTTTGATAGATGAAAAAGCAGAACGTGCAAGCACAAGTGGAAGCTCTAGGTATTTAAACTCCTATTCGCACATATCACCACACGCAACATCGAGTCTTAGGACCATGGAACGGACACAACAATCGCTGCATCGCATCTATCGTCCTGGGCATCTGGTATCGTTCCGGGCCCACTGTAATGCTTGAGTCTCAGTCCAAATCTCATGACAAACCTCAACATCACTCAAGGTGCAGCAAAAAAGAGAACACCAGGCAGCGTGCGCCCTGCTCTTTGTTCGGTTTGACTGCCGCTGTATAACGTGTGTATGCTTTATCTAGCATATAAACCCTACGGGTTCAAAGACCCAGTAAACCTGGTCCTTTGCCTCATTGAGTAGTGTTTTGGATGACCAACTCCAGTAAAATGATGTCGAACTGCCCTGTAGGGAAATGCACATAGATGAGTATGTCTGGGTGACTTCTTCTCACCTTTGGTTCCCTCTGCGTCTTATCCTTTCTTGCTCTGCTTTTCTTTGGACTTTAGACCAGCATTTTCAACATGTTGCCTTGTTGAAGTCAGCACACCCTTGTTTTTCTTAGGTTGCTCAAGTATCTGGGTCCATTTTTCCAGCATGAGCCGCTGCTCACTTGGTCCCTTCGGCCTACATCAAAGAAGTCCACTGGGAGGAGATCCTGAGCAAACTGACGAGACAAACTTATACGACAAGATGGGTGGGTGTCTCCTCAACCTTGAGAATGGCTGCTGACGAGAGCAAGGACATGTATGGTACGTATTGTCTTGTACTCACAAAATCTGGAACACTACCCAATAGATGCACCATTCATCCCTGTAGAAGTTGTAGAAGTCGGGACATCTTCCATGCACTCTATGACTCTATGTATCTCGAGTAATGCCGGATGTTTCCATGTGAGGTAGAGTTTGGTCAATGGAAACAGTCAAAACATATGAAATAGAGGTGAAAAGGAAACGACATGAGCACCGTTCGGGTCACCAATGGACTAGCCGTGACTAGCTTGCATGACTAGATCTTTCGAAGGACACTCAACAGTCAAATCAGACAGGAAGTCATGTTGAGAACAGCGAAGAAAACATGTCAAGAAACCCAAAAATCCGGATATGGTGGTCCCCCGGGCTACTTCGACTCAGGGAAACGAGCGGATGCTCCGAACCAAATCCCGGTTTCTCCCGGACTCCCCATGAAAAGCTCCCCACCAGCTCGGTCTCCACCGGACTTCCGAGCAGCCCCCAGTCCGTTCGTTCGGACGGATGGGCCGTGGTTGGCTGAGCCCGGAGGGACAGCCTCACATGATTCATAGAACCACCAGGGTCACCAGTTGAAGTGGTAAAACCGCAACTCCCTGTTGAATGGTAAAAGCTCTTCATCAGAAAAAGATGCAGAAGGAGAAGGAAGGTGAAATCTAATCCATTCTAATCCCAATTCTACCATCTACCTGAATAATTAATCAATGAATAATCCCCCTCAAGACCTTTGCCTCCCTCTTCACCCCAACTCCCATTGTGCTTCTCCCCTTCCTCCCCAAGCTTCTCCAGATGTGGACGGAACTCCCGCCAGTGTAGTGGCCGCCGCGGCTCGGGCCGCCATCACCAGCGCATCCAAACAGGGTCGGCCTCTTTGAAGCTTCAAGACTTGCCCCAAGAACTGAGTGCAGCGCCATACTAGTCACAAGGGCATCGCTACTCGGAACAAGTGCATCGCTACGTTCGTATCTAGAAGCTACGTTCGTAACGCCTCGCTACAAGTGCATCCAGTGTGCGTTCCCCAAATCCTCGACGGAGGAACCCTCACTCGGAACCCTCAGAAGTGTCGAACTCGGTGGGTGAGTACAAACCCATTTTCGACTCTCACCCTGGAATCGGGCTGCTTTATGCCGTTTTCAATGTTTTTCCGGAGCGTCTGAAAATAACTCAACACAAACTGCCGGCACTGGACTGGCTTGGAGCCTCGAGAAGTGGTTCTGAAAAAATATCGTTTGGAATTCCTTTTCTCAAACCCACCTGCTTTGACTCGGTGAGAAGGACCTGGATTGCTATCTGGCTGGACCTGTTTTTCAAGGCACGCATGGCCAGTCAATATGGGATGCCAGGAAGGCGATTCTGTCCAGAGCCTGCGGTCTTCTTGGCCCACGACCACTGGGACCGGCAGAGCTGCATGCATATGCTGTAGTGCTACATTCACCCATCAGTTAGCCTGGTTTCTGGGGTCAATGTAGGCAGAACTGGCTGCGGGTCAAAGCCATGAGACCTTGGCTGACCCACGTGGGACCTTCAAGACACGCTGGTGGGGCTCCAGGTGTTCACCCCAGAACAAGTGCCAGAACGGTCGCCTCGCAAACGCCCCGCCTCGCGCCGTCTTGGCCTTGACAGGGGTCTGAGGCCGGACCTGCTCACTCCTGGGATCCTGGGAGATTCGAAGCACATGCGAAAGTGTCGAGTCGAATCGATTCGAGGTGCGAATCGAATGCTGCTAGACTCTGGTCGATCGATGTGGCTGGCGGAGTTTCGCAACAGACCATGTTTAGAAGTCCAGGTCATAACACAGCGCGTGTGGGCCGAGGTGGAAGGACGCCCCCCAAAAAAAAGAAAGATGCCCTCAACAACGAGCATCCTATTCAAGTTGGGGTGTGTCTAATTACTGGAGTTGACCGCAATGCTCGAGGGCGGCTGAGGGTGCCATGTGAGTGTGTTGTTTACCTTCACTTAAGACACAAGGACAACATTCCACGGCATTGTCCATAAATTCCACTGAATGTCTTATTTACATTCTTCTGAAAACCACTGGAAGCCTGGAATTGGTCCGAGGCTCAACGCATCTCAACGCCCGGTCGATGTTATGTTCAGAATGTGACAGTGATCCACAGAATGGTGCACACTGCAGGATGTTCATCTGGGAGGTGATAGAATCGTTTTGCCCTCGCATTGTCCTGAATCGTTTTTAGATGAACCATGGTGCCATGGAGCACCAGCTTTCAGCCACCCCATCATCATGATTCCATGCTCAGTACTCAGTGCTCAAAGCAACCAAATCAAGCCTTGATCGTTGATCAACTGACTCACATAACATGGGAAACATCGCAAACGCCTCACGGCACCCTTGGCTCCTTGTGAGTTTGACTTGGCGCGCTGCCAAGTGACGCCTCTGGCACATCCTTCTTGCTGTCAAGCCTGTCAGGTTCTCTGGTCCGCTCCATGCAGGTGTCTTCCTGTCACTCATTCGGTGTCGTGGTGCAATCCCCTCAGTGGCATCACTGCAGGATGTGGGTGGAGAGTCGAGGCTTTCATCATCTTGTATCCACGTTCATGATCCCAGTTGTCAATGATGGAAAACCATGAGGAAAAACTATACCAGCATAGACCCCAAACAGCGTCAGCATTTTTTCGGCGTCGGCGTCAACTCCGAAAATTCCAATGTTGGTGGAAACGAATGCAAGTACACTTTTCTAAAGCCTCCAGCTGTTTGACAAGAGGAGGACAAGGCCCGGACACAGAGCCGGACCACAGAGCCCAGCCACAGAGTTCAGGGGCGCCGCCAGTGAGTGTGGCCAGCTCTATTTTTCTAAGATAGAACCCCAACAGTAAACTGTTTGGGGAAAAAATCACTGCCCCCATGCGAGGGGGCTTCTCACCACCAGCCGCTTGGCACCAACTCGCCTCATGGACGGCAGCGCTCGAGGACGAAGCCTCGGCAAAGTCAGTCATCTGTGGTTTCGGGGGCCACGTGAGCCCGGCAACGAAGAGAAAGAAAAGACACAAAAGAAAAGAAAAGAACAGAAAAGACAGGAACCGTTTCCACATGGTCCAAAGGTCGGCTTTCGCACATACCACCGAAACCAGGTCGTTGTTCAGCCGACTTACGTCCGCATGTTCAGGTCTCCAACACCACGGAAGTCGTGGACCGTGGACGTCGGGCGCCACCGACCGGACGGGCGCGACCTCCTCGCACCCGTGGGATGCGAAGGGTTCGCAACACATCGGGTTTGGGAACCGGGTCCGGACCCCATGTCGGTGGACCAAGTCCGACCCTGCGTTTCGAGGTCGGGCCTCTGATAGGGATTTTAGACTACAAAGCCATGTCAACCAGTTTTTTAAATGGTCTCTGAAGGCTAAGGTAAAGCAAAAAAGAGGATGTGGCGGATGTACGAGTACGCTACGCCACGCTGCGCACGAGACGCACGAGGCTTCCCACTGGCCCGGATCTCACGCCGCACGCCACGCGGCTCGTCACGTCAACGATGACCGTCCGTTCGTTTCAGCGGCTCGCTGCGGCTGCTGGTTCGAAGCACACTGAGGCTCCCCTGCTGAGGGGATGGACATCCTGCCAGGAATTGATCAATGGCCCTTGTCGACATGGCTAATCAGCGTCGATGGAAGACATTGAAGACATCCACGGAATCTTTCGAATGCAAGTGTCCCTGATCTGATCTTGCAATCCCTGCAACCGCAACGATGTGTGACATGAGATGTGAAATGGTGTGAAGTCTTCCGGAGTCTTCCGTTTTGCACCCTCTTGCAGCTCGGTTTCAATATAATATGGCAAGCTTAAGCTCAGTAGAATCAGATAGGTATGGTGACTCACTAGGTTTCCTCACTCTCCATGTGGTCTTGGTACATCTGTGGGTCCCGGCCCAACAACCAAACGGACAGCCGGAACATCCTCGGAGTGGTCTCCCTTCACGCCCTCGCCCTCGGAGTGCTAGGTCATATAGCAGACGGGGACGAAGCGGGAACGAAAGCCAGAGAATCCGTTGATCATTCCAAAACCATGCAAGCACGAAAATGACCATCGATGGATCCCCCGAAGATCAAGCACCATCAAGCAACCGACCTTAAGCCTTAAAACGGCCATGATCCCATCACAAAATAATCAACCAACCAATAGTAAAAGGCCATGTATGATCCTCCCTTCCTTCCATCCTTCCTTCCGAAACCCTTCCTTCAAAACCCTTCCTTCAAAGCGGAAAACCTGCTACGGCGAGGAACTACGAGACGATCTCGCCTGCCAAGGCAGCTGCTGCTCGGGCGGACTGTGCCGCGGTGCTTGCAGCCACGATCTCAGCCGAATGAACTCCAAAAACACGCTGAAAAAGTGTAGAAAGCTGAAAAAATGCAAAAGAGAGTTCTGACGCTCCGTCCACGATTCGTCTTCACGACCGGTCTCGATGAATCCATCGCCCAGTCTCGACGCACTACCAACTGAGGCACTGGCTGCTTCAGCCAAGCCTTCCTGACGGCCTGGAGCAAGACGCCAGGAAGGCTTGTCAGTCTGACTGGCTGTTAGATCACACAGGCAAACACTCTGGCACTGGCCAAATCAAAGATCCAAACAGCTTCATGATCTGTATATGGGTGTGTGTTGGACATGGGAGACCTCCAAGGCGGAATGAGGAAAAATCAACAGAAACCTCAGATCGTTTTGAGGGTGCTCCAGGACTGTGAGCCGCGCTTTTACCGGCTCCTGATCCATGACCTCCAGAGCCCCCTGAACCTCCTGGAATCCCACTCAAAGGCTTCTTGGACGGCTCCGGGGATCCTGCCTGAATGCTTCCGGGGAGCCTGATCCGACGAGGGCATCGGCATGAAAGGGAAAGGTCCAGGGGTTTACGGCTTTAGAGCGCCAAAGAAACTGCTATCCCAGGAGTCACAAACAGGTGGTGTTTAGTCCCTGAGTGAGTGGATAATGGGCACCCCTAACCTCCATTAAGCACCCCTTTGTGACTGCTGGTCCTTTTGGTTAGCTTGTCGCCAAACAGACGTGACATGTTCTAAATACAGAGTTCTTTTGCTGTTCCGCTCCTTAAGGGAAGGCGGGCAGCCCTGTCGGTTTTCCTGGTCAGTTTTGGGACCGGTCAAAACGTGCAATGGGCTCTTTTCGGTACAGTATATATAGAAAGAACGGTCCTCTTGATCATCTTGCCTGAAAGGATTGGACGGGTAAGTGCTGCAAGTGATCATTGCTCAGTGTCCCATGTCTGGTATATGTACAGTAACCCTAAACAAGGGAAATGGTGACCATTTCCCTCATGTCGCCCATATGACATGCTGAAGGATTCTGGGTGATGATAGCCTGCGAATACCCCGCTGGTGATGGGAGGGGGCTACAGAAATGTTGCTGGCCGGAATGCTGTTCAATCGCATGATCTGCAATGACTCGCAAATAGTTTTGCGTTTGGAGTCTCTACTTGATGATGAGGCCTTTATGTTGAGGTCAAAATGCCCCAAGTAGCAAACATGCGGTATTTTCCATTACCAGCAACATTGGATGATGATGGTTAGGTTGCAGGACACCCTGTCGACATACCTCCGGTCTACTAGAGTCTACTGCTTTCTGGTCTATTCTTCCTACGCACAGACACCCTTTTACCGACTCTTAGACTTAGGCAGACACACCAAGACTCGGACCACCCGTCTCCGAACAAGCCAACCGGACCTGGACCGCGCGGGCAAACCGAGCCCCCCCGGGGCCGGCCTCTCGGAGCCGCGAAAACCGCAGCCCGGCGCCTCGGCGGCGAACCGTGGGACACGTGGGACACGTGGGACACGCCGACACGTGAAAGCGTGATCCGGCAGGGTTTCCGTGCGAATTCAGAACACATATGCATCTTGCCCCACGAGAATGGCCACCAAAAGCGGGGAGTTGGGGCTCAGACTTGGTCTTCGCAAAAAAGACCCCACAGATCCACAGGCAAAGAAGTGCGTCTGAAATTTGCAATAAACATCTGTAGCTTAAAGCCAATGCCAAATTGCTCTGCGTACCAAAATACGGCTCGGTTTATCAAGGAAACACCCAAAATCAGTAGAGTTTCCCAATTTCAAAGCAATGACTCCCATGACATGAAAAACAGTCTGCTTGACAAGCGTTCACCACGGTTGTTCTTTGTTCACTTCCCATCCCACCAAGTTCCCGGCTCTGCGGTCGCCGCATGCCCGGCTCGCATGCCCGGCTCGCACCCCGAGCCACGAGCCACGCGGAAAGAGCAGAGGCGCAGAGCGTTGCCAATGGATCGTCCGCACCGATCGTCCATTTTTGTTGCCTTCACAAACCCCTGGGTACACACGCAACAAGGAATGAAACAAACTGCCTATCTTGAGCTCCCTTGGAATTTGAGAGCATGGCATCACCTGGCGGGATCAATGATTTGGAGATTACCAATGTAGACGGTGAACTTGCATGCTCATGTGAGACATCTTTGCAGGTGTCCTCTTTGAAGATACCCGACAACTTCCTCAACTCCTCAAGACTGGACTCCTTCCAGGCCAGGCCTACAACGCACTTCAAGCTGAGCAACCGACCCAGGTCGGAGCTGGGTCACCCAGCTAGCTGGGTCGAGGTCCTCCGACCGTGTCTTGCGAGCTTCACCCACTCGTTCTCCCTCGGTTCCTCAAGAAAAACGATGCACAGGGTTGGGGGTGGCCCCCCTCCCCTGGTTGCTCCGAACGGCGTGTGTCCGGAAGATGGATCACCCATCATCACCCGAGCTGGTGCAACCGAACGTCTTCTTTCCACACCCCGACCCCAGCTCCCCACCCGGTCGCACCGCACACGGCCCGGGATGGCCACAGGTCCCCTTTTTTCCTTCCCTGCTGCCGCACTTCCGCCGGCCTCCACAAGGAGGAATTCCATGCGTCGGTGTCCAAATCCTCCTGAACCTGTAGCCTGAGCAAAGCCTGGCCTCAAAAACAGAGGGAACACATAGAAAATTCCCTCTCATAAAGGTGTGGGAATCTAGGATACCTGGACCTATAGCGTTGGAGATGCAAAAAGGGCGTTGCATCTCCAAACATAGTTGATAATAATATACTTGTCTCATCTTGTCCCTCTAATTGCCCGATTGTCGGCAACGTCCCCAGTTTGTTGTACCGTGACTATCCGAGCACTCTCAGGCAAACTTGGCGAACCTACCCGACGAAGTCATATCTTAGAGGCAACAGTGGGTGCCACCAGAATCAGATCCCCTCCATGTCACAGCCCGGCCTACATGTCGCAAAGCATCCGCGAAGATCGCGAGGGCATCGACATCCTTAGATGCTGCAGGGCGTGCAAAGGCCAGCCCAACAAGAAATCCTGAGAGGAGTCCTTCCTGACAACAAGTGGGAAGAAGATGGAAGAAGGGGGAAAGACCAAAACATCATGGAGCTGAGGACACCGTTGCACCACTCTCTTCAACCCACCCCTTCCTAAGAGGGCAAACTCAAAGGACTTACCGACTTACTGTTAAGAGAAGCCTCCAGCTCTCGACTTCGCGTCAACTTAGTGTTTGGAGAAGCCTCATTCTCCAGGCATTTCGGCCTTGTCGGCAACATGGGCAAGAGGTGTCTCAAAAACTGGGGCAGGGAGGGTGTTTCATCCATCAGGTCTCGTCCAGTCTCGAGCTGAAACACCACAAAGAGGCCGCGAGGCCACCGCACCAATGGGGGTTTTGAGGTGGCCTAAAGAGTAGTTATATATGAAAAGCATGGAAAAGCATGAAAAACCTGAAATCCGCTGTAATGATGCTTCTGATGTGTTCTCATTTGCTCCCCAAGAAGAGAAAAACCTCGCCGCTCACCTGATTGGCTTACACTCCGACTGACCAGCATCGAATTGGATATATAACCCCCTCTTTTGTGAAAGGAAAGTCTTCCAAAGGGGCCATGCCATCCACTTCCATGTACTGTGTTCGTCAGGTGTCACCCACGGTTCGGTGAGCATTGGTCCGTTTCCAGGGTGAGAATTGGTCCCAGAGATGCTCCGGTTTGCTTGGGGTGTAGGTCCACCGGGCTCCCAGCAACACCAAATCAACATGACAAAGACTCGAAACCTGTGGGGGGATGAAACCCACTTTGGGAACATCCACATCGCCCTACAAAACCACGGGCCCAGTCGGCCCAGTCGGGTTAAACATGTGGTCCCTCCAACTGCATGGCCAAGCACCGCCGCTGGCTGCCGATGGCTCGGCTCGTGCGCTCGGCACTGGAGCCTGGAGCAGATTCCGCAGGTCACCAAAGCGAGCCAGTGGCGATTAGGGACCCAATGGCCTTGCCCTGTCAGAAGTCCAGGAGGTTCGTCCGGAGTTGCACTGGATATGAAACCATCGTGGAACCCGGTTTTCCTCTGGCCAAGCGAAGGAACGAGAGGCCTCAGTTCAGGGACCCGAACTAGTGGCGCCTCTCGAGCGTGTATTTGGAATCGACTCCTATCCGGACTGGCCAATTGGTGTGTACCGTGTACCCATCGATTTCACTTCTGGGGTAGGACTGTCACTCTGTGGCGAAGGGGCAGAGGCATTCATGAATGGAACGAAAGAGAAGCGCCGAACCCACAAAGCGGCACCCCAAAACGACTGGTCTGAGGTCTTGAATGGCTTTGCCTAGGGCATAGGCAGCAGCCTGGGCAGATTGAAGGTCTAAGGTCTTCTGGCTCCTGAAAATCAGGCGTTCCAACAAGAAGCTTTACCACACGCCTAGTACTCCTGGAGCTGACCACCGGGCGCCGCGGTTACTGGCAGCAGCGTCAAAACTACCTGTTCGGAAGAGCGAAACGGTCGCGTCGCTCTTGGGACGAAGGCCCATTCATCCCTCGTTTGTTGGGACGAAAGAGGAGGGTAGACGACGGCCCACCCTCGATCGTTCCGACGGTCCGAGTCCAAGCACCGAATCTCTACTGCGAAACGTCCGGAGACGAGTTCGTCCGGACGTTCCTGGTGAAGAATCGTCTTTTAAAGGACGTTCCACATGCGAATACCACTACCCAGGCCATAGCCACATGAAAGTTATGAGGGAGAAGAGTGAAATCAGCCCCGGCTGTGCCTTCAAATTCCTTGGCAACAACAGATCTCCAAGTCTAGGGGTCATCCTCTACAGCCATTAGAGATAACATCCCGCTTAAAAACCCCTCTATGCAAATGGACATACAAAGGTACTACACTCTTTGAAATAATCATGTATGTGGGAAATGGATGCTTGGATGACCATTGCCATCTACAAACAGGTGGTTTTCCACGTCCATGATTCTTTCAGGGAGTGTAAATGTATATCTATGTCACAGGAAGGCGGCGCGGCGGTGATTCCCACCTCAAAACTCGAGCAAGGCGGCGAACACCCCCCATAGGTGGTCAACACTCAGTGAACTTGGATTTCCTGTCCAGGAACTAAAAGGCAGAAGAATCTTCAGCACGTTTGGGGGATTCACCCAATAGGAAAATAGTCGTTATTCACACGCCGCCAGAGCCGTATCGAAGTCCCCTGGTCCCTGTTGAAGGGAACGCTGGACTGCACAAACAAACCAACCGGGGCCAGCATCAACCCCAAACAGTTTCAGCATGCTTATATAAGACCAACAGTAAACACATTAGGTTGGAGGCCATCGCTCTTAGGTTGGAGGCCATTGCTAAGTAGGTTGGAGGCCCGCCCTAGTAGGTTGGAGGCCATCGCTAGTAGGTTGGAGGCCATCGCTAGTAGGTTGGAGGCCATCGCTAGTATGTTCAACCATCGCTAGTAGGTTAGTAGGTTGGAGGCCATCGCTAGTAGGTTGGAGGCCATTGCTAGTAGGTTGAAAGCCATCGCTCTTGGGTTGGAGGACGAGGACCTCGCTCTTAGGTTGCAAGCCATCGCTAGTAGGTTGGAGGCCATCGCTAGTAGGTTGGAGGCCATCGCTAGTAGGTTGAAGGCCATCACTAGTAGGTTGCTAGTAGGTTGGAGGCCATCGCTAGTAGGTTGGAGGCCATCGCTAGTAGGTTGGAGGCCATCGCTAGTAGGTTGAAGGCTATCGCAGGGGCCATCGCTAGTAGGTTGGAGGCCCTTGCTCTTTGGTTGAAGGCATCGCTAGTAGGTTGGAGGCCATAGATTGGAGTAAATCTGCTTTTTACTAAATCATCCGATCTTCTCAGCCAAGTGCATGCCACGGTGCCTAGGCCCATGCAGCCCATCGGTGCAGCGGACGGCGCGGCACCCGTGCCACCGTTGCTCTCCTGGCGCCACTGGCAGCACCACGGGTCGTCGCTCGATTTCGGTGGACTGAAGACCAGACAGCCTGGTGGGTATTTTAATGTATCAAAACATATTTATATATACCACCCTGGAGTAGGTAGGATATGAACCAGTCCAAAAACATGATCAACTTTCCATTGGTTTTGGATTGGGTGCACTTTTTCTTTGGGATTTTGATTTTTCGTGATTTTTCAAAACATTGGAATAGAGCAGGTTTCTAACTAGTACCTAGCTAATTACAGCAATTTCGTGTCCTTAGCAGAGACACAGGTGTCGTAGCTGGCCAAATACATTGGAATAGTGCAGGTTTCATTACTGTAGTTGCTAGCTGATTAGACTAATTTGGGAGCTCGTAGCTGGCAAAATACATTGGAATAGTGTAGGTGTCAGAGAAATTCCTACCTATCACAACAGCTTGGTGCAGTTAGCAGAGAAACAGCAAAGAGAAAGAGAACTAGCACAGGAGGCATATTTGGTTGGTAATAAGTTTTTGCCCCGGGGAGTTCGCAGGCGCGGGTGTCGGAGATGAAGTGCAGATTCCGTGGCGCGGGGGAGGGTTGGGGGAGGGGGCGCAGCGCCCCCCCCAGCAGCACACCAGATCCAAAGGTGAGCAGCTCGTGCTTGCGTGCTTGCTTGCTTCCTTGTTTGGTCTTCTTTGCCATCCATCACAGATCTTTCTCTGCTCCCTTCCCGCGTAACTGGCTTTGTGAAATGTCGACCACACTGCAACCAATTTGAAACCAAAACAGTTCCAATGGATTTTGCCAGCTACGACAGCTGTTTCTCTGCTACAGGAACTGCACCAAACTGCTGTGATAAGTAGGAATACACAAAAGCAATAGGTCGACAAAGCAAACAAATGGAAAAGCAAAAGCAGAATGAGAAAGGAGAACAGCTGCCAAAGCAGAAAAGCAACAAAAGCAAAGAGCAGAAAGACAAAAACACAAAAAGCAGAAAAGCAACAAAACCGAAAAAGCAGCAGAAGCAGAAAAAGCAGCAAAAGCAGAAAAGCAACAAAAGCAGAAAAGCAGCAAAAGCAGAATCCGAAAGAAAAAAAGATCACCAAAAAAACTAAAAAAACATCGTGAAAAAAAAAAAAGCCCCTCCTTTTGGATTTTCCAATAGTCTATCTGCTCCAGGATGACTAGGTAGACACCTAGGCCCAACGTGTTTGATCTATTTGCGTTCTTCTCCAAGGGGTCGGAACGTTTGGGAGGTCTCCCTATGTCAATACATACCTAGGTGGAGTCCCAGATGCTCTATCACAGGGATGGTCCGCTCGAAGAAAATGCTTGATTGGGGGGATGTTCCATCTGCGGTTGATGTCTTGCTCCATGGTTCCACGCTTGGCAGGTTCTTTTGGTTTCTACATTCTGTTGCGTGGTCCTTACTGCGTGGTCCTTGGAAACCCGGGAACCCTGTCCATACACAATGGCCTATGTATTTTTGTCGAACATGACATGATGACCGAAAACAAAGGGTTGAAAGGGTCAATCCTCTGGCAACAGGTGCACTGGGATGGGTCCTCTCTTTTGCGCAATTTAAACCTGTCTGGCGATGTTGCTACTTGTTTCTACTTGCTTTTGCTGTACTGTTGATCTATGAGTGTGTGACAGCTCAACTTCCAATTCTTTTGACCGTGGACTCTGCTCCTCGAATTCGTTCATCTCCTCTTCAACCACCGCATCTTGCGTCATCAGCCTTAGTCCGTCTGGATTGGACATTGTATTTTTAAACGGGCCATAAGCAAGTTCGACGAAGGCCTCAAAAAAGGCCAACACAGCAGCTCATCCTCAGCACTACTTCTGACATCTTCTGACACCGAAAACCCGCGTATCGCCTCAGCTCCTTGTTTCTTTGCATCCGAGGCTCAGCTTTTTTAACCTGTGGCAAAACAGAGCTGGATGCGGAAATCCGTTGGTGGACCTGCTTCTTCATGTTGGGTACATCTAAACTAGCCTGGTCAAAGGAATCACTGAATGACCATAAATCCCCGAAACATCCAGTTGAACAGGTTTTGCTACTTTCTGCCAAAAGATCCCAAACTGTAAAATGGGAAATGGAAAAAACACTTGGGATGAAACGGATGTCTTCGCGCCACTGCACGTCCACAGTGCCATCCATCTTGGAGGATCCCAAGAATGGCGGCACCGAAATAGCACCCAGGGTCTATATAGAGACCCCCAAATAGATCAATAGACCCCTTTTACTGACCCCCCCCAAATAGATCAAGACCCCTTTTCTCGAACATATCAAATAGAACTTGGTAGATCCCCACCTAGAAGTTCGTAGATGACACCGTGCCACGAGTCTTCGGGGATCGGATGGGTCCTTCCACCTCTTTGACCGGTCCACCGAGTGGACGAAAATGCCCCAGACACTCCGCTGGTATATGTCGTATATTGCATACATTGGGGTGGTTGATCAGGGATCAATGTAGGCATATATATATATACTTATGCTGTATATATATATATATACGGTACCATACATGGAGTGTCTGGGGATTGGTTGAGGGGTGCCAATTCCCAGCTGTCACCCGACGTGACATGGTGTAGAGCTCCCATGACTTGCACAGCGAAGTTCGGGCGCCGAGGACCTTCTGGATGACCCGAATCATAGGCCCCAAATCCAATGACATGACATGACCAAATGCCGAGGGCAAAGGTTCTTCGTGGCTCGAACCACTTTTTCGAGGACTTGGACATTTTGTTTTGAAAAAAGGACTTGGACTTGGAAGCTTCAAAAGTGCTGACGCGTCTGGAGCCCACTAAGCCTCTAAACTCCAACCTGGAATTCCATGGTTCACTGTTCTTCACCGAATCAGGCGCCTCTGAGATGCTCTTCGCACCGCGCGGCTCCCCGGCATGGTGGCCCAGGAGACCCGGGGCGCGCGGGCCGCGAGGGGCTCCTGGGTGGAGCTAAGGTCGGTGAATCTTGAGATGAAAGAAAAAGACCAAACTGATTCAAAAAGCTGGAGTCAAGTGAATTTGTCTTCCTCTTTCTGGAACTCAAGTCATTTCTAACTTGTAATTGTCCTTGGGGAAAAGAAACACACCAAAAAACTCTGACGTTGCTGCGTTGAAGTGTTCTGCTCAGCAGAATCAGAACCACCAGCGCAAAATCTCATTGAAATCACGGCTTCAGCCCCCAGCCCCAGAATCCGCTTCTCCTGCGCTTCGGAGGCTGCGTCCAGCTTGAGGCACCGCAGGAGACCGGTGGTGGGCCAACCCATGAAGACCAAGGACGCACCCACGAGGATCACCTGAGATTCCGCATCGATTTCACCGCGAAGAGAACGTGGCGCGGTAGATCGTGAGTTACGCGCCACGCATGATAGATCGCGACGGGTCTTTGTCGAGACTTTCGGGGGAGGTGATTTGGATTGATTTGGATTGGTCGAATGGCCAACCGATGTGAAAATCTGCGCAGAAGTCCGGTGAGTGAGAGTGGGAGAGTGAGGCGAGTGGGGGGAACCTTTGATCAGATGCAACAACTACACCAGGAAAACCCAGTCCCAATCAGAAACAGTCCTGGAACCAGAAACCGTCCTGGTTGTTCCAATATGGCACCAGCTTGAGATCCTTTACATAGGAAGTTGCTGTTTGGGGAACCTCCTTATCTGTTTGTTGGGGGTTCCAGGCATCAATCAAGCCTTCCAGCGATCACAGACCTGAGCCCAGGATTCATCGAGGATGACGTCAATACTCATTCTGCATTCCAGGCTCTCAGGGTGTTTCAATCCGTCTGCGCAGGCCTACTCATGGCCAAGAAGCGGTCGTGCACAGCAAGTAGTCCTGATGATCTTCCTGTCAGCATTCGGTTATGTAAGAAGACGTGCAACGGCCGTCGACTTAGTTCTACATCCACTTGGTCACAGGTCACAACTCTGCATGGTCACAGGTCACAACCAATTCTGGCCCCCAAATGCGACTCCAAGCCGTCGCAGCAGGGTACACTGATCCAGACACTTTCTTCGTCTGTCCCGGCCTGCTTAGGAAAACTCAAGGCGCAAATGAAGGCGATGACCCCCCGAAGCCCTGCAAACCAAACCATATGCATCTCCTGCACCAAACACGGCGACCCCCCTCGCGGGCGACCGTGGGTGATCCGTAGCGCAGGCTTAGAACACACAATGTCGAAAAGAGAAGCCTGCTCCTGTAGAACGTGACGCGTCGACATGTAGAACCAAAGATAAAATCCAACAGTTTGGAAACCCACTCACTTAGACATGCGAGTGGTGTGGTAGGTCGGCCTGCGTCCCGAACCCCGTCCACTGGTCGTTCTTTTCCGACCACGGTGACCCTCGACCAGCAGCCTCCAAACAGCATCGAAAGGGAGAAACGCTGCAGATGTGGAAATGTGAAGGCTTCTGGCTAGACCACGCTGCTTCAAGCATCAAACAGCATGGAGATGTGGAGAGGTTGAAAACGGCTGAATGATCATGAATGTTCAGGGGTTTCACACCTACACCACCGCGAACCAATCATGGTTATGTGGATGGCATGACTCCTGGAAAAACAAAACATCCTTGACCAACAGGGGGTTGACCACCTCCATGATTATTTCAGGGGAGTGTGTATATGTAAGTATATACATAATATACGTATATCCTTGTATATCTATAGGAAAGGCTGAGTTGGTTGGATCCCATCCTTCACCGACATCGTGGGTCCCGAAGAGAGCCGGTTGGTCAGCAGAGCCAGCGGGTAGACGTTCCTCAGGGAGCGAGAAAAGGAAACGGGCCCCTGGATCCAAGCCTAGCCCAAAGAAACTACTTTCATTTACTTTCTGGGCCCCAGATCCGTGACATGTTGCTGCAGAGCACTGATAGGCCATGTCAATGGCACAAAGCAAGCTGACAGCTGAGCGGGCTACAGCAGTTGGTTTCTTGTTTTGAAAGCTTGAGACAGGGTGCATGAACGAAAGGACGAGCTATACTCAAAAATGCAAGACAAAGTGTCGAGGCAAACTCCAACACGTAGAGAGTTCTCCAACTCCAAGACATGCTTGGCACCATACCTTAAGACCTGTAAAGAAAGAAATGCAAAAGTCATATGAATAATAGCGTGTTGCTTGCTACGCGCCGCGCCCCCAGACTAAAGCCTTTTTCGCAGTTGCTGAGTTCTCCGAAGTCATCTGACTCAGATCATGTGTGGTCTAAGTCTTGAGTCGGTGTCTCGCTTTGAAACAAACAAATCGTATGCCCACCATACAAGCATTGCGCCCCTGCATCCACAAGTAGCGGGCAAAGACCCCGTACGTTGCGGAGCAATCCCTGTGAACATAGCTACATAGCTTGACATGGATCTTGACAGGTGCCTGGAAGCATCCTGCCGAACAACCCTTCTGAGGAAATCCAGGAACAAGTGTGTGATGGCTGAAAAAGCACTGGAAAGCTGAGATGGAAATTAGGGCTAAAGTGGAATAAACAACAAGTGCCACGAAGAATTCACGGCGGAGAAGAAGACAAATGCGCACCAAGGAGCACGGGTCTCTCGAGCGGAGTTGCTCATGGCGAGGAGGCAACGAAGCAGATCGACAAGCGCGGAAGGGAACGACCTGCTGGCATCCTCTTCGTTGGACGGGAAATGCCAGTGGTGTCCCGTCCCCCTGTTCCAAACCTAAAGGTTCCTTTGATTCCAAGGGTTACACACACACACACGCCTCCCCGAAGGGAGGCATGTGTGGTCTCCATCCTTCCCGGAAAGGAGGCAAGGCACATGTGCACGCAAAATGGACAGATGAAAATGAAAAGAACGAGACCGACAAAAAGTGTGCGTGGTTGCCGATGAAGAAGAACCAAGTGAAGAGGGACAACCGATGAACCAAACCTCATCGTAACAAACGTTGTAAGTAGAATACGCGTGCGTGTATGTGTACAAACTAAGGTCCGGACGATAGTGAAGACAGAAAGACATGAAGGAAAAGAAGGAAAGACGTCTGTGGGGCCGATGAAAGGGGAACCAAATGAATGGGGACAAGCCGATGACAGTCCAAACCTCATTAAGGAACCTGTTGCAGAAGCCTAGTTTGCTTGTACACACGCCGCGCGCGAGGAAAGAGGGGGGGGACGGGGAGGAAGAAAAGAGAGGGAAAGAAAGAAGGAAACAAAGGCGCTCCCAGCTACGACACAAGCGTCCAAGGACACACCAAAAAGGAAGGGCTCCCAGACTACAACACCAGGTCAACCATTCTTTTAATGGTCGAACTGAAGGCTAGGGTGCATGTTGAAGCCACATGCAAAGGAAAAGGGACCCCTGCGCCCAAACTACAGAAACGGGAAGTGGATGAAACTCATTCCAGCAAGTAGAGAAGGGAAATTCCGTGGGTGAAAACAACAGGATAACCCCCTGCCAAGTTCGACCATGAAAAGAGGGGTTGACCCGGTTTTTGTAGTATAAATCCTTAGGAAAACAATGGTTTTGCGGCAAAGACCCTTACAGTCGTTGTAGAGTAGATAAGCCAAATACAAAGATGTCATTTAGCTTTATTTTTTGAAGGGGGTCTAGATAAATCACCAAACTTGGGGGATCGTGCACCCTACTCTCACTATGAAAACATGGTCGAATCCCAGGCTGTACTATTTTATAGTGGCACGGCCATTCCAAGAGGTGACTTGTCATTCCAAGAGGTGACTTGCCATAGCAACTCACATCCGAAGTGGTCGTCTAAACCCAGACACGACCTGTCACTGGCATAGTTACATATATTTACCTACATTAATAGAATTATAGATTCCAGTCCCATTTGTTGTGTCTGAGAAATGGCCTGCGCCATCGCCAGCCAATCTCCGACGCGGATTCGCCGCGCGTTCTCGTCCAGCGTCAAAGCCCGACCTAGGAGGCAAAGAAGAAGCGTCCAGGCCACCAACGGGAAGGAGTAGGCGCGCTTCATGAGAAAGACTCCAAGGCCCAAGAGGATGAAGACCTCAGGAGGAGAAAGTTTTTCGCCTTTGACAAGAGAATAATATGGAGCAGCAAACCGGGTATCTGAGTTCAAAGATATGATTTGTTTCATGCAGGTGAGAAACTCCTGAATTCTTGATAGGTCCCTGAGTTCATAAAACGAAAAACTCCCCGATCACCTCGAGTAACTGCTATGATATCTTCGAATATGGGTACCTAAGTTCATAATGCAAGTACTCTCATAGAGTACAAAAGGAGTTTAAGTATCTCGTATGAGGCTGTGATACCTAAGTTCATAATAAGGTCTATGGTTCATAATGCACGTTCAAAGGCCTTCTTTCAAGTTCTTCTCTTCCCCCTTCAGCCCTATCCTTCACCAGGGAGCATAAGTCTCGCAAAGCGAGGCGATCAGCTCGATCGTCGGGAGGAAAATCTGACGCGTCACCTCGACAAAAGGGTCGCCGTGTCACGAATTCCATTGATCCTGCATGGTGAAAAAGTGAGAAAACGCTGCTGTTTTCGGATGTGTTCCACTTGGCACAATCTGCAGAATGCATGTTTTCTGCTTATGTAGTTTAGATGGTTGACTTAAAAAAATACAGGACTGGAGATACTAGACTATCCAGCTTGGAGGGGTTGATTCTGCGGATTCATCCACCGTTTACAAGTCTACAAACTCAACCCCATCGACACCGGGATCACTTCCTTGACACCTGGCGGTTTCAAAACGTCCAGTCCCCTGCTTTTGAGACCGCCACGAGAGTCCGGTCCGCGCGACGCCTGAGTGAGGTTGAAATGGGCGTAATGTCGCGTGGTGATGCCTGCAAACCTCAGTGCCCCACTGAGGCTCCCGTACGGAGACGGAGTTGGAGCCGTACAGTCTGTACAAAGGGGTTCCTCTCCTCAAAGGGTTCCCCGCTCGGATTCCAAGCACCACCCAGACACTCCACGTGTGGTATAATACATATATATATATAATATCTCTATACATAAAAAAATATATATATACCCATCAACATCCAACGGGTGCTCATTAGGCACCCCTGCCACTTCAGAGAGGGATTGATGATGTTGTTGTGCTTAGATAGGCGCTCGCGGACCTCCTGCGGCGGCTCGGCAGCCACCACGGGGAATCGAGCGCACTCAGGGTGCGAGGTGAACATCTGTGGTACACCCAGGTTCGCAGTTCACATCCCTTACAAAGGAGAAATCTCCCATGGGGAGATCTTGGGATTGAGGTATGGTATGTTCAAAGTTCAAAGGGTTATGTCCATTGGGCACCCCTTATCAAGCATGTGATCCAAAAACTCACTGGGCACCCTTTGGACCGTGGAGCGATGGCAAAGAGAAAGAAGAGCTCAAGTCCAAGGAGTTTGTACCAGCTCCCTCCAACGAGTGGCCTATGAGTTTTGGGATCACACGCTTACTAAGGGGTCCCCTGCAGGTATCTTAGATGAAATCCATGTGGCCATCCGAATCTCCCACTGTGTGCTTCAGGTGAGCATTGCTGCCGATTCATTTTTGAAGCCATTGCTGCCCTAGTCTAGTGCCTTAAGGTATTGGTACCCCAATTTATCCCAATATCATGGATTCGGACCTACAGGAATGCTTGAAAGTATTGGCGTGTGCAAGGATACGCTTATCCTGAAGTTCTTTTTCCATATCTTGAAGAGTTCCTCGGTTGGACTTTGGGAGGATACCTGCAGGGGTCTTTGAACGCAGCCATCCAATTGGTTTCCGTAGGACTTCCAATTGCCATATGGGTTGCCATTGGACACTTCTTGGACGCCCCGACGCTCCAAATGATATTCAAGTTTATTCGGATGTAACCTGGATCGTGGAGCCCTCCCATCACCCCAATTTGACTCAACCTTTTGAGTGTGTATCGGAATATTTTGGACCGAGGTCACCAAGTCCACTGGACGGTTCTCGAACCCCTTCCACATTCCCAGCCCACTTCCCAGCCCATGGATATGACTCAATCATCCCTGGCCCTAGGCAGTTTAAATAAATAATAGTGGTGCATGCTTGGTACGTACAAACAAACATTTGACAAGTTCAATCCGCACATCGATCAACATTTTTGTTCAAACATGCTGAGTCATAGCCAGTCAACTCGACACGACTGACTGGACCCTGAAACCACCCCACAGGTTGTTGTCACAGGTTCTGAGAAGGGTCTTGGTGTAGATAGGTACCAGATTGCTTGTCTCGAATTGCCTGCAAGCGAGCTAGATTATGCACATCTGCGCATTCGGCGACGACCAGCTGTGCAAAAAATCGATTCATATGGTGAATCGTATGCCCCAGCGGGCTGAACTGACTATTTACGATTTCGGCTATTCCCGTTGGAAAGTTGCCGAGCAAGGTCTCATTATCAGTAGAAGTGGGCAGGCAATGTTGGCTGCAGAACTGACCTGTGTGTCCAGATGCATGAAACCGATCGACAATAGAGTCCATAGATGCAAGACGTTCAGCTGTTTCACTACTGCTTCGGTGTTGCAGAGAGAAAAGCTTCAAGTGGCAAATGATTCTGAGCCCATCCCAACGGTCAGCCAAGCGGCTGATGAAGCAATACCTTTGTGTGACAGCGATTCTGCGCAAACGAGCTCTTGCAGATCACCGATGAGTCCTGCCTGGCAGTTTGACGACAGCAAGTGCACAATACGCGTCCCCCAGGAATGCGTTTAACTGGCCCACCTTGTGGAACACATGTCGAGGAGAACATGGTGTTCAGATTCATGTAGAAAGACAGGCAGGCGCACGGGGCCCAATCGACAACGTGTCAGAATTAAAAGCTAGTATCGCCCCAGAAACACACTTGCCCAGCGGGCGTCTTCCAGCACTGATAGCAAACAAAAACCCTGCAGATTTCGAAGCTGCCGCAACATGCTGCTCTGACTCTTTTTGCGTTTGGCAAGAGTTTAGATCGCGAGCCTGATTGGAAGACCACGGTGCCAAGTAGCCACGTCTACGTGGCCGCATTGGAGACCACTGCTTCTCAGCTCTGCGATCTTTTTTCTTTTCGCGTCTGAAGGGGTCGCGCAAGACAATCGAACAAAATCTGTGAAAAGTTGTCTGCTGAGGCGCGAGGCATGTGTTACTGTCACACCTATAGGACCGCACTGTGACTAGTCGCGTTGACAAATTGAAGGTTCAGGTTGAGTGTCTATCTAGAGGGATCACATCTAGAAACGTTGTCTAGAAGTATCAGGTTTGAAAGATCGTGTTGCGCAAGGCGCAAGACAAGTCAACAAGTACGAGATGAGGAGCTTCAACCCCCTACATGAATCTGAACACCATGTTGTCCTAGACATGTGTTCCACAGGTGGGCCAGTTAAAAGCATTCCCGGGGGGCACGTATTGCGCACTTGCTGTCGTCAAACTGCCACGCAGGACTCATCGGTGATTTGCAAGAGCTCGTTTGCGCAGAATCGCCGTCACACAAAGGTATTGCTTCATCAGCCGCTTGGCTGACCGTTGGGATGGGCTCAGAATCATTTGCCACGATGACGCTTGCCACTTGATCTTTTTTCTCTGCAACACCGAAGCAGCAGTGAAACAGCTTGACGTCTTGCATCTATGGACTATATTGTCGATCGGTTTCATGCATCTGGACACGCAGGCCAGTTCTGCAGCCAACAGCCTGCCCACTGCTGCTGATAATGAGACCTTGCTCGGCAACTTTCCAACGGGAATAAGACAAGTCAACAAGTACAAGATGAGGAGCTTCAACCCCCTACGAAAGGTTTGCAAATCTTTCCTCTTGGAAGTAGGAGGTCTAGAAACCCAGAAAAGAAGGTTTAGTTGGACGGTCAAAGTGATGTCCGTCGCAAAAAAATCCCACCTGCGCCGAATGCGTTTATCAGCAAGCTGTGCAAAATACCTGCTCAGCACAGCTTCATCCACAGTGCAGGCAGGCTGCCATCCGGAGAAGCCAGCTTGCTTAATCTCTAGACTGCAAACATCGTCGGCTGCTCGTAACGCCCGTTTCAGCCTGCGTCCTCCAATTTCAAACTCCCCCTGCTATGAAGCTGCTGGTTTTACTATTGAGTTATGGCTGTTATAACTAGTTATAGGTGTTTGTAAACTAGTTAGCAAAAGGTTGTTTTCAAAAATTCTATTGACATTTTTTCAGAAGTGACAAAGATAATTTTGCATTTTTTGTTTTGCAAAAAAATTACTTTCAAACTAACTATTGGGCAACAAAAAGACACACGCACAAGTACATCCCAGGAATGTTTCAACCAAACATGTTGGTATTTAAAATTTCAAATCATACACCATGATTTGCTTTTTCCAACCTAAGAAGCAATGATTTCGCAATGACAACAAAATGTGCTGCATTGTCCATGGTGTTTGGTTTGCCAAAGTGCTAGAAAAAAGTCTCCAATTGCAGCGTAAAATGTTTTTACAAAAATCAAAGAAAATTGCAGCTACAAGCAGCTGATTTTGCAGGTGGTGCTGCAACATAGGCATATCCTTCAAGGGCCTATACAGGCAGTAGCCTTCAGTGGGGCAAAACCACAAACCAGAACAGAAGCTTGCAAAAGCTAACCACCGACCAGAACATAAGCTTGCAAAAGCTATGTGCAAATGTGAAGTATACATTGTAATGCCCATCTGGCTGGCGCACCATATTCAAAAACGATGGCTTGAGCATCTTCATCACCATCCAAAGTAGTGTCGCCAATGATATACGGGTTTGCCACTTCCATTTGCAGCTGCTCACCATTTGCAGGCTGTGATGACATGGCTTCACTCTACAGGACTAGTATAGACCAACACTTTGCATGTGTATCACACACTGCAAGAGCACATAGAATTGTAAATGTGCCTGTGGATTGTATGGTGTTCAATCATGAATTTCCAAGACAACAAAAGTATGTGAGCCTGTGAACGGGAAGGACCTTGGATCCACACTACTGAATCCCTGAATTCAAAACATCATAGTCTGTGATTTTGAATTCAAATCACTGAATTCAAAATCAAATTCTGTGATTTTGAATTCAAATCCCTGAATTCAATATCATATTCTGCGATTTTGAATTCAAATCCCTGAATTAAAAATCATTTTCTGCGATTTTATTCAAAATCAAATTCTGTGATTTTGAATTCAAATCAATCATATTCCGCGATTTTGAATGCAAATCCCTGAATTCAGAATCATTTTCTGTGTTTGAATTCATATGCTGAATTCAAAAGCCAGCCTACACAGGCTAGAATGTATGCCTGTAGAGGGTGCCATTTTTTGAGCCTATACAGGCTTCTTCACTGATCTCCAATTCTTTTTTCATTCTTGAAAGTCTCGCGAAGATGCACAGTCATGACAGATCTATTGTAGATCCACTTGTCATACGCCCTCTCAACATGCTGCTCAACCTGTTTGCTGAGCATCTCCATGGGCTTCCTCAGGCTATGGCGCTCTGCCAACCTTGTCAGCGCCTTCTTGCGGTACTTGATGTGTCCAGTCTTGTACGCATGGACAAGGGCGCAGGCTTTATTCATCCAACCACGAGGCACATCATTCTCAGGGTCCTGAGTTGATAGATCATAGACACATACACTTGACTTGAGAATCTAATTTTATATTTATGTTGATGTGTATATTTTGAGCTTTGACCAAACACATACTCAATGATGAAATACATTCAAGGTACAGTGTAGTCCCTCCACCTTGGCCAGTTTGAACTGCCCCATGATGCAACTGCAAGGCATGCCATGAATCTGCACAACACCTGGTGTTTGAGTGTGCTTGTTCTTGCCACACGTTGTGATTTGAACCACCAAGCCACACACGCCAAACTTATAGCCTTTGGAACGCTGGCTCCACAAGCGCCTTCACGGGCAAAACCTTGCATCAGCTGGTAACCAAAAGGACTCATTGAGCATACACCTGCTGAATATGACTTCATGGGCAGAAGCTTTCATCAGCTGGCAAACAAAAATATTCATTATAGTGAGCATACATTTGCTTAAGATGAAATCAGCTTCCAATGTTGAAACAACTTGTGCAAGCTATATCTTATGTGGTACACAAACACAAATTTCTTTTAGTGAAAACTTGAAAACCTTTAGCGAGTAAGCATAAAACAAACTTGCTAAAACTGTTTTTTTGATATCTGTATCTTACATTACTTTTTACTAATTTCTGTGAATTTTTAAGACAATTAAACATGTTACTGTAAAAGTTGAAAAACATTAGATAACTCACTTAACCAACAATAACTTTGAAGCAAGTATAACAGGTTATAACAAGTTATAACACCTTGTTAGTGAGTTATAATATCCTTGTAGTGTATGTAGTAGTAGTCTTAACAGCCAGAACTCAGTAGCAAAACCAGCAGCTTCAAAGTGCTCCGCTTGTGTATCGCGCTGAGCCGCACGCACTGAGCACAAGGTTTCGGCCCCGTGCGGACTGCGGCTGCAGCCGCGTAAGAGATATTTGCCTATGTTTGGGTATGAGAGCACTTCAGCGAACGGCTGGCCGCATGTCCTTCTGTATAGTTTTGCATTGCCGTCCACCACACAGATATCTAAACGGTCTCCAGAACATTGAAGTTGCGCCCGCCGCCTGGCATTTCGGCGCCGAAGTTTTGTGGCACGTTCCATATGAGGCTGGCGCGCACAAGCTTTATCAAGGTCAGTCACAGAAGAAGATGCGGATGATGATGATGATGATGAAAAACTAGAGAGCTCCGGTTGCAGGACTTTCTCCTGGGAACCGCATAACGTATTCTCTTTTCGAGCTCTCGGAACCATGATGATGATGATCGCAATGGTGATGATGCTGATGATGATGATCATGATGATGATGATGATGACGCACCATCGTCCGGGATTCAAAACAACTGCTTTATGATTTTCAAGCCTTGCGATCCATGACCTCACCTCTCTGTGGCGGCGCCCGATAGGACATTCTATTGGACAAATAGTCTTATTCAAACCTATGTATAAGCAAGGAAAGATATTCATACCTGCTTTTCAGTCATCACAGCGAAAGAATTTCCGTCGCCGTCACACCCGTGATCCGCTTGAGCTAGCAGCACCACCGTCAGGAATCCCTATTGGAGAATATATATAAATATAACTCCTCACGGGTCTACGTAAGACTGGACACGCTTGTGAAAAACGCAACGGTTTTTTAATGTTTTTATCCCTTTTTAAGAAGACAAATAGTGAAAAAATAAGATGTATAATAGCCAACTAACTATTTCTCCATATTAGTCTACATATTGGTGTGTAGCGGTGTAGCGCAGACGTATTGGTGCGCAGAGCGCAGCAGAGTTTCCTTAGTATGGGCATGCCGTTTGAACCCTCCCACACCACACACCCCCACCCCACGCTCAGTCACTCGCATTACGTATGTAGCGTAGCGTAAAAGGAACTCTTCTGATATATGGGTGTGCAATTTGAACCGAATGGAACGTTAACATTCCAACCCACCCCACCGTACCCTCAGTCACTCACATTGTGTACGTAGCGTAGGGTAGAAGGGTTTCTTCTGTTTGGGCATTCAAGTGGAACAGAACGTTAACGCGCCATCCGACTAAAACCCTTAGAATCGTGGAACAGTTTCGCAGTCGCAACTACAGTGTGTTTGAAGATCGACCAGCGAAAACACGCGCGGTATATAAGGGCTCAAGGGTTTGAGGTCCATGTCAGAGAGATCATGGGATTTGTCATGGAATTTGCGCTCAGGAGTCTGCGGTCCTATGGAAAAATGGCTTCGTGGGCTGACACTGCAGATTGCAGAGGGGCACCCAGAGGATGAGCACTGCGCGTGCCTTGCATTGAATTTGGGGCCTAGTCTTTTGGGAATTTGGCTTTGACGTCTTGTTGCATTGTTGGTCACAAGGATGGTGGCAGCTGTATTCCACAACCTGTGTGTACTGCGGGACTCTAAGAGTGTGAAGCGCAACCCGCCGGGGTGATCCTAACACAACAGAACCAGGCGAATCTGCAGAAAGCCAACTTTCTCTTCCACTGTGCTTACAACTGTGCCTTTGTCATTTAAGATTTTTGTGGAATCTGCTCAGAATCATGTCCTGTGATCTTGCTGTTGGCTATTGATCACCTGAGGGTTGGCCGAAGAAGCGATCGCCAATGAGAAGCTACTTTGGAAGTTGAGGCCGAAGTTGCACCGGTTAGACCATTTGGTGTTGGATGTCGCCCCGCTCCAAAACCCGTTACCACTGAGTTGTTATCAAGATGAGGATGGTATGGGGAAACTGAAAAAAGTGGCGGCGTCCGGCCATCCCAAACGGTTGGGACTTCATTGTCTCAGCCACTATGCGGCTAGTCGTGTGTTGCCGTTGGTTGAGGCAGCTGGCAGAGTAGAGTAGCATAGAGTAGAGTAGATTACCAGGACCATTCTTATCACAAAAGCCGTACTGGGCTTTACGAAAGCCACAGTCTCCCAAAAGTCGGGTGCCCTCTGGCAGCTGCCACCCAACCGGGCCCACACGTGCCGTTCCAGCCTGTTCGTGGCCTGCTCCAAGATGAAGGTGGAGAGGCAGCGCAGCACGCCACAGAAGGATAGGCGCTCGAAGGACGACGTTTTCGAGGGGAACCTGGAGAAAAGTGGGATTTGGATATCGTGCGTTCAAAATCGTTCAAAGGGGTGTCCATTGGACACCCCTTATCAACCATGTGATCCCAAAACTCATTGGGCACTCCTCGGAGGGTCCTGGTATATATATATATATATTATATATATATATGGTGTCTAAATTGGCCTACATTGAGCCCTTTTCATCCACCACAATGTATGTAAAAATATGCCACACATGGAGTGTCGAGATTATCATTCCATGGGCAGAATCCCGAACAACCGTTGTTTTACTAAGGATTTTCCAGTACAAAACGAGGTCAGCCATTTCTTTAATGGTCGAACTGAAGGCTAGGGTCCCGTTGACGGGATGTGGCGATGGTGACGTACTTCTTTTTCCCAGAACACAAAACCCCTACTAAACTAGGCTGGATAGAATACATGCAATGTGTCTTTCTTCTTCATCCGACAATTGTTTGTGAAACAAAAAGCTTTGAAACACGAAGAGTGCTTCATTCGCGTCGCTGGAAACACACCATGCAACGTTTGCTCACCAGTGCCACCCTGCTGCCATGCAACATGATGGCCACGATGCCCGACAAATTGCAGGCCTCCGCGGCCAAGAAAGGCACATATGCCAAGACCTGGCAAGTGGCGCACGTAAAAGATCTGATCGTGCTAGAGGAAAATGACGCTTCTGGGACATGTCCCCCACCACCCCATCTCTACAGATCCCCACCACTTGTTGTATCTTGTTTTGTCTCCATTTCAGCCACTAGTTTGAAGACCTCTTGCGAGTCGGGTACTAGGGGCACCTGTCCTTCTTGTCCCTGTCTGCCTTTTGGCCCAACTCTCGCCCGAAAGCGACGCACTCCAGCACCACGCACTGGGTCACCGCGCCAAGGCGACTCCAATCTCTGGGACATTAAAAAAGAAATGTTCACCTTCACCTGAGCTACCATGGCACCCCAAAAGGCGGATTGAAATGGAGAAAAACACGGGATTCACCACGTTCGGGATTGATGTAGAACTCTTCAGCCCGTTTCCGGGTTCTGTACCGACGTTCAACCCACCAGAAGTGATACAAGGCTAGCTTTCCCGGTTGTCCTCCACCCATTTCGGCCAGGGGGGTGAAGAACCACCATCACGAACGAACTGGGGTGAGCCGTCTCAATGGTCGGAGTCCGATTCGGTGGCGAAATGGGGCTGGATGGAGGGGTTGTAAACAATAAAACCTTGTCTCCCGGCTCTGGGCTCCGGGCTCCGGGCCGTGCCTTGTCCCTTTGTCTGACAAATCACTTACCCTCCCTGAAACAATCATGGAAGTGGAAACAAACGCCTGTTCGTAGAGCCATATTCCACTGCCATGTTTGTTGGATGGAAGGTAAACCTTAGGCTGGTCCAGTTCGACGACAATTGGCAACACTCGAGTCACGGAGGAATGTCCTTGACGAGTCGTCACGGATGTCAGAGCATCTATTAGGATAGCCGACTGGACTTCCATGGCATGAAGGTTCATGCTGCTGCGCTTCGCAGACGTTCAGGACAAACATGTCCCACCCCATGATGATTGTCCGATGCCACTATCAGTGCTAGTCACTAGTGAAATAGAAAGCTGTACTGTAAGTTAGATTGTAAGTCGTTCGGGTATTGCTGTGGTGACACCAATTTCTTAAAGTGTCAAACACTCACATGCGCAAGTTCTTGCAACATCTTGCAACGCAGCTGTGGCAAACAAATCCCAATAAGGCACCACGCCACCACTATATAAGTCAGAGCAAAGTCCTTGCAGCAATTGTTGCCACATGGGACACCGTGTTTCACCAAACAGGCCTTCCAAGCCTGCGAAATGCTTTCAGCATCCAGACCCGTACGAGACCGTACCACCAGGTTTTCATCCAGGGAAAAAATAGAACAAGCAGCTTCAGTAGCAACAGCCAGAGCAGCAACAAGCCGCCACCGCACAGCAAAGCAACAGCCAAGCAACAGCAGCAGCCACGGCGGCAGCAGCAGCAGCAGCAGCAGTAATTGCAGCAGAAACGGCAGCAAAAGCACTTGCACTCCACCACGCAGCTGCTGTGACGAAATCTGTACATCAACATAAAACCGCTCCGATCTCCTGCACCGTCATCGTTCAAGTCGACTTTGGACCACCAAAGCACGAGGTGCCCGTCCTTATCAGCACCTCATCCTTACAAATGTTGCTTGCTGCATGCAAATTGTTCACAAGCCCATGTCCCAGACCATCCACGAAATAGTTACTTACATGATGGATTATTAGGGGTGACTTTCATGTTGTAAATCATTGTAGATGTAATGAACCAGTCCCCCATGGAAGGTCTGGGTGTTGAACATACTAAGAGAAACCAACCTCATGACAGGGCCAGGCCGAGGCGGTTCCTCACGAGGTCCTCCGAGGTCGTTGGTTGAAAGGGGAACATCCGCAGGACACCCGTGGGTACCAGCACCTCTTCAGGTGGTCTCCGCGGGTGGTCACTGAAAATGCAGACTTCAAAGGTGGCAGGTGACAAGTGAGCGGTGACCTGTTGGAGAGTCCTGGTAGATGTTCCCTTAAACCATGTCTGGGATCCAAGGAACAAGCTCCAGCACCCAGTCGCGCCGTCTTCAGCAGAAACGCGGTGGCCAGACCGCCTGTGCCCCGAGTGGGCGACTACTACCCAATGACCTAAGCAAAAGAAGATCTTGCAGCTGATGTCAAAGAAACAGGCAATGTATCTTGAGTTCGGCCCAGGATCTTGTCCAACCTTCATGTCTGGCGATGTCTGAATGTGTCTGGAATATCCCAGTTCCAGCCAAAGCTGCAAACACAAACAAGCCAATGCATCCACAAGTGTGCCTACTCACACTTTGTTTGAATCCTCAAACCACCCGAAACAACTACGGAAGACGGCCCAGCGGCCACATGCGGCCACCCCGCCTGCCACGCCCATCAACGTGGAAGCCAGGAAGACGCCACAAAAGTCCAATAGAATCCTGCAACGATTCTATCAACACAGGTGGCACCAAAAAAACTCCCGCTTTAAAAAACATTGAAACACCCCCCGTGAAAACCCATGGAAGTTCAGCACCCGAAACTGTCCCAGCTTGGCCAAGACCAAACCAAACCTTCAGAAACCCCACCACAGGGCGACGTAGGGCGACATGCGTCATGTGTCACGTGCTGTGCTCCACAGAGGCGCACCAGGCGAGCAGCACCCGATCTCTACGCAAGTGATCTGAGTGACCTCTGTTTCGGACCACCAACCACCCAAAAGATGGTCTTTTCCTATGAAAACAGGGGTCACTCAGGTTCTGGGTATACACAGGTCACCACCTGCCACATGGTGTGTCTCCATTTCAGCGACCATGTCGGAGACCATTTTTCGAGTCGGGTGCTGGGTGCGTCATCATTTCGGTGTGTTTTTTGGATCATTGGCTCATTCTGTAATGTACTCTGTTGATGAATAAAGCTCAAGCCGCTTGGGATGTAAAACCACTCTGGAGACGAGTGGCTTTACATGGTTAATTTTACTTTTATTAGTCATTCCCAGAACTTATGTACTTATTTTATCGCACCAGGTAATCATGATCCACCACTTGATAGGGGCTAGGCCCGGCTAGGCGGGCTAGTCTATGAGTCATGACTGGACTTCCAGCGCTGTGGGTCAAAACTCCAAGCCCCAAAACCAGGGTCGGTGGACTTGCCAGGAAGTTGACCGTTCACCACCGTGAGTGAACCCTGCTTTGACCCACGGTGCCATATCCCAAGCGGGCCTCCGTTCACGCCCGAAGCGAGCCGCTTTGGACCGCGACACGTTCGAGTGTCGCGATCACTACTCGTAGCTTCTTCTTCTTCTTCCCAGTAGCTTCTTGTTACATCTTGTTAGGCGATCGGAGCCCCGTTCGGTTCGCGTCCGTTCTCGCTCCGTTCCTAGCGTCGCGATGCCCGCCCGGAGCCCGATCCGTCGCTTCTTCCCTGCGCTGACACCGCGTCCTCAAGGCTACGGGGCCATCCACGACCTGGGCGAGTGGTGGCAGAGAGGTGCTCCAGCCTCCCACGGAGAACGGAAGAAGCTCAGTGGTTCGCCCAAAGATTTGACTGGTGAAGAAGGTGCCCAGAAAAGGACTTATACTGTATATTGTATATATATATATATACGTACCCTGCTGATGAACCATGCAAGGGTGTGCAAACGCCCGACCCCCAACCCTCCCTTGCCCTTGCCAGCGCTGCGCTTCCGCCACCAAGCTGCCTCTCCAGATTTCACCAAGTCGGTAAAGCTGCCGAAGAGGGTGATGGCCACCGCATCGTTTAGAATCGATTCCCCGAGAACCTCGGCGTCCGAGGGTCTCGGGTGTATGAAAAAACCGGCACCTTTGGATACACGACTTGGAAGGCACCTTTGGAGCAGCTTGAAAGGCTGAAGTGAATTACCCAGACACGACGAATTGGACTCGAATCCTCTGGAGGGATCAGACCCGAATCCTCTGGAGGCGTCTGGGGGTCTCAAATCCCTAGGTTTTGAGGGACCAAGCTCAGTTTGGAGCGTGCGGGTGCACAAAAACACTGCAGCGTCGAGAATCAGGATTGCTCTCTGGCCAGCTCAATAGGAAGATGGACTCCACGCCACCCATGCGTGGAAGCGCATGCTGTTCACTGGGGCTGGCACGGAGTAGTAGAGATGCCCCCGGCCATTCTCAACCAATCTTTGCTCTTTGAAGATGGCTAGAGTTGTGACCTTGGCCATGAACGCAACTCCACGTCACTCTCCATGTCTATATAATATACCTTAATATATATATATACATATAATACCTGTCAATCCAATCCTTCTTTTCAAACATTCCCCAATTTTGGAAGGCGGTCTTCTTCAGTTTCGCTTTTGAAGCTTTTGGGTCCCTGCCCTCACGGCGTGGCGGGAACGTGGTGTGCACCCCAGGCCCAGGGGCCCAGCCCTCAAAACATGCTTGACACCCAGGTGTCCGACCAGGGAGCGGTTACCGGGGTGATCGAAATGAGAAATCAGATTCAAAGCGTGGCGGATTTTGATGCGGGACCTGGCACTCAAATCGAAGAACTCTGGAAGTCCTCGGTGTCATCGGCCAGAGCTGTGGAAGTCCTTGATGTTACGCACCTTCGAGCCTGTCGTGTACGCAAAACCAAATATAAAGGGGGAGTCCAAAACAAGACAGAGAAGGGGCCCATTCAGCAGGTAGGAGTGGCTGAAGAACTTGGATCGAACAAGCCCCGCCCCACCTAAAAATGCAGCAAACCTTGCAGCGAACCTTTTGGTGTCCTTTTTCACGAAGCGAGCCGCTCATGGTCAACCCGACCTCGAAAATAGAGATCTCATCGTCCCACATGGTCGACTCGATCTCGCAAAATGGTCTCACTGGTCGCAGTGGTTTCTTGGATGCCGTCCAAAGCTGGCAGGGATCTTGGTCGCTTCTGAGGTTTAAAGTTGCTGAGAAACAGCCAGACCTTCTGGCTGGCACGAATGGGATGTACAGAAGCCACCTCCGCACGAAGCCATCCTCGATTCGGGGATGGGATTGGAGGGCACCCCCTGTCAACGGTTGTACGGGTCGAAGTGGTGAATGGAGGGGCACCTCCAAGCCAAAAATGTCATAATACCGGGAGATGTTTTCCCCGAAGTAGGTGGAGGGGTGAACCGCATCGGTCAACGGTCGACTGTGAGCAGGAAGTATGCGGAGATAGCCGGGATTGGAAGACAGGGAGACAGGCCCAAATGGTGGAAATTCCATGTGTTTCCGTTCCATACCTTTAAACTTTAAACGGATTCATCACTCTGCAATGGATCGAAACCAAGCAGAAACCGCAGTCTAAAGACACGAGTTGGTTCACCCGCACAGTCCCGGGTTAACACGATTGGTTCCGTCAGAATCCGGGCCGTCAAATACAAAGGGTTTTGAGGGTTCAAGCCCCGGCTATGGAGGGCCCAAGGGGTCTTTCAAGGGAAGGGAACTTCCAACCTTTCACTAGTGGACCCTCCTTTCATAGAAGTCAGCGCATGCAAAGTACGAGGCAATGTCCAAGAACCCCGTGATCTTGGAAAGAAAACAAAAAGAAGCTTCCTCAGCGCTTGCAAGCCTCCCGTATGTCCTGGTAGCTGCAATGTCATTCCATTCAGCGGCACGGGCGACGCGTCCTCGTCCGCTCCAGTGGGCACCACGGAACGGCACACGAGGGAGCGCAAGGTCTCCCAATCCGTGGGACGCACCAGCTTCCGCAAACTGGGCATGGTGGAGTGCAAGGCAGACACCACGTCCTCCGATGTGAAGAGACATGACAACGGGTCGATGGATGACACTTCTGCGTGCACGATGCGGCATCTGTTCCCACACGAACATGCCATCTCAGATGAGACATGAGAGCCACGTCGTTGCAGTTGAGGCATCGAGTTCCAAGCACAAACGGTCTCTCGTTCTCGTGTTTTCACGAGAACGTCCCACCAGAAATCCAAGCTCGACTATTGTTCGCGTGGCATTCATGAAATCGAATTTGGGGATGCTTTCTGGTGTCTTGAACCAGGACCTTCCCAGTGACCTCTTCAGGATTGGTAAGTGACCTTTTCAAGGCCTGTTCGTGACCTCAGCTGGGATCTCAAGTTCGGTCACTGGGAAGGTCTGGGAAAAGAGTGTTTCTTTGACTCTTCTTAGTCACAGTCAGAGATCCATGACTCTTCTCCCCATCGGGTCCCCGGTCCCATCTCCTCCGTCTCGTTCTCGGTCCGTTGGAAGGTCAAGTGGGCCTTCTGCACATCCTGAAAGTCCGTGTCGACATCGACCAGCAGGGTCATCTGCTGCAGCTCTTTACAAAGCTCAAGGCCAGAACCACCTGGCTCGCGATGCACCAAGTTTTGTGAAAAAGGTGCCCTTTTCCAAGACACGTTGCTGGGGAATTGAAGCATGAAGAAGCCCTCTGCATCGCCCCCTCCGCCCATTTCCGCTCGAAACCCAACAAGGGGGGGGGCGACCGGGCTGACCGGGCCGACCCTGAAAAAACCTCCCGGTTGCTACTAAGAAGAGACGCAAGACGCACTCATTTTAGTGTCAATATAAAATGGGTTGCACAAGGATCTGATCCATCCCCGCCTCTTCCAGTGCTTCCAGTGCTTGCTGTGGAGCTGGAAAACCCAGGGCATGGAGCGGAGCCGCGCCTCGCGCCGGCTTCCGCGCCGGCTTCGCGCTGCGTGGTCAACAGCTCCTGGGGCACAGCATTCTCCAAGGCTTCAGGTGGTGGCCGCGAGTCAGGATCCTCCTTAAAAGCGATCAGGTGATAAGGTTCGCTGGCACCAAAGAGCCCTGGAACAGGCACATGGTAAAGATCTGCACCAACTCTGATGTTTGCAGCTGCATTCAACGAAATCCGCAAGCCTCGGATCTTTTTCTCGTTCCGGCGTCCGCTTTTTCGCGCTTGAAAAGCGAAGCAAAGATCCCAGTTGAGAGTTTCAATTCCAATGTTCGAATTGCAAGTTGAATCAAACTGAGAACAACAAATCAGACACGTCACAAAGCGTAGAAGAGCTCCGGGCATCCGAACAGAGCCCCCAAAAAAAAGGATCCTCATGACCTTCATGCGTTCCGCTTCCCCAAACCTGACCGGTTCGACCCAGCGTGTGAGGTCGACAGCGAACAGTCTACTCGAAATGGTCCGAAAGACCTGCCACGTTTCCATGGTGCTGGCTGCCACTTTTGCCACGGCGGTGCGGCGTGAAACCGAAAACGAGGCAGAAAAAAATGAGAGCCATTGAGTACCAGCCTTGCTCCTAGTAGCGATGCCAGGAGCCCCTAGTAGCGTCCTTGCTCCTAGTAGCAAGGCCAGGAGCCCCAGCACAAAACCAAAAGAGCCCCAAAATACCGAAGCCAAAACAGCCGATGCTCTCCCGAAACGCGATATTCTTAGGATCTCGGAGCACAAGAGATGGAAATTGGAGTGCTTCAACTATACTTCCGGGGATGTTGGATTGCTCCGCAGCCGCCACTATGCAGGTGATTCTTGACCATTCTGCCCTTCTCTTCTGTTCCACCCCCTGCTTTGCTCAGCCAAAGCGGAACTTTGGGGGTCTCTGAGAGGTGTGGCCGAGAAGCATACAGGAGGAGCTGAACACTTCGTGGATTCGCCGCTGACGGTCGAAGACTCGATGAAGGTCTTGAAACGTGTGCGCTCCTCGGCAACAATCAGCCGTTCAAAGGATCGGCCCACAAGGCTTACATCCGATAAAATCCTTGGATCAGGTTTGTGCTTCTGGATAGCAGGTGTGTGAAACACACGGCCGGCTCAACTGTTGAAGTTCATGTTGATGGGAGGAAAACCTCTCAAATTCATCTGGACGTTTTTCAACAGACCCCCAATCAATGTGTTCCAGTGGGTCAACCTGAGGATTTCTCCCTATTGATCCCTATAGATCCCTATAGCTATTCTTTATAAACAAAAAAACTGCTGAAAGACTGCTGCCAAGCCCTCAAATGCTTCAAGCCCTCACTCTCGCGCGCCAGAGTCATCCCGCTGTCCAGCAGCACCTCACCATCACAAATTAATGCCTCGTAGCATCCTCCGGAAGCTGCAGACAAGGGACTCGGCATCCGCTGTATCCAAGAGCGCATAGATTCGTTCCCGAAGCGCCACATTCATGAGTATGGAGGACGCCGTCACAATGACCAGCAAGAAGAATTGCCCACACAACACTGACATCACTTCTACACTTGGGTCAGAGAAGACAAAGAAACGAATCAGCAACTCCAAAGTGGTGTACACCACTTGGAAAGGAATGGTCACCCATGGATCCAGAAATGCCAAGACCAAACAGAAACGAAACGTGATCACAAAACATTGCAGCAATGCAAATCTGTGGGCACTCTCTCGCCCTGCTGAACCTGCTGCCGCCAGAATCCCTACAGCACAAGCAACGTGCAGTGAGTAGGTTGCAGCTTTCAGCTGACGGGGAGTCAGGCGGACAGAATCCTTTCCAGCCACGGAGTAGTGGACATGGGTTCCAATGCACAAGACGAGCAATACAATATTATCAAGCCCAGGTGCTTCGAGGGTCTTGTAGGTGAAAAGCAGGGTCACGGGAAAGTTGATGTGACAAAGGCAACAGCAAAAGAATCTGTAGTTTGTTTGCCGCAACTTCCAAAATTCTTCCTCCACGCGAGCTTCTTGGGCTTCCTCCACATCTCTCTGGGCTAAGGAACCTATACATCCCCTCAACTTCCCCCAATCATCCAAAGTCTGCCAAAGGTGCAATGGGAACCAAAGAAGTGCCAAAGTGCACACCACACTCAAGGTGTCCATGGAGTCCATGGCGCAAGAACGGAAGAATGAATTAAATATATACATAATATATAGCAGAACCCGCTGACTGAGACAAACCTAGTGATTCGCGTGGTGCTTGCTGAAAGACCCTTTTTTTGTGTGAATCCCCTTCAGATTCAGACCGGCTGAGCAAGTTCGAAGAGGCTCCCAAGCTTCGCCCCAGCTCCGATGCTGCCCCCCAGACTCCGGTTGGGGGCCCGTGGTCCCGGTGTGGGAACCGAGCCGCCGTCGCGCTCCGAGTCGCCCAACGCGCTTAACGGAGCGAGTCTCGGCTGGCGATGACCGAAGACCCGATGGAAGAACGGTCGACGTGTTTGTCTTCTTTTTCTTGTTCCTTCATGTAGACTCTTGAGGACCATACACATACACATCCATACACCACACCCCCCATACGAAGAGGATGTTCAATTCAAATGGCTGGGCGGCTGGGGTAGATTAATCAAGAGTCTACATGATTTCTTTTCTTTGCTTCTTCTTCTGCGGCTTTCTTCTTCTTCTTCTTCTTCTTCTTCTTCTTCTTCTTCTTCTCGGTTTGTCTTCTTTTCTGCCTGCTTGCTCGTCTTGCTTCTTCTTGGCTTGTCTTCTTTTTCTTTCTCTTGCGGAAGAACGTAGATCTTCGAACCCATCCCACGGGATCCGTCGCGCCACGAACTCGTCACCGTCGCCGTCGCCGTCACTGATCGGGTCACGGGATCCGTGCTGCTGATCATGGCGCCAAAGGCCAAGCACTCGGCCAAGCTCAGCCAGAGCGTCGTGGGCGCCGTCGCCTGCAGCAGCCAGCGCAAGCCGAAGGCCACGACCTGAGCACGGAACGTCCGGGCAGGGGCAGCTGGTGGGTGCAGCAGGTGGGTGCGGCTGCACCGGTCGGAAGGAGGTTTCTGGGGGAGCAGGTGCAGAGCCCTGCCCCTCCAAACAAAAAGGCTGAACAAAGGAGCCCAGAAGGTCTCTCAATGTGTTCATGTTTCTTCCAAAAGTGTCCGCTGTTCTTCTTCCAAACGTGGTGATGCACACCCTGCCGGCCCTACCCTCCAACCACCACCCGATCGAATTTCTGGAGATCTCCAGCTGGGCACCCGAGCCAGTGTAGAGACAGCTGTTCCCACGAAAGCATGCAACAAAATTCCTCGGCCAGCCGAGCCCACAGGATGCTCACCCCAGAGCCCCAAATGCATCTCAAGAGAAGAGAACTTGATTTTACATGATTTTACACCCTGAAGGAAAATCAGGATCCGCCCTGGCTGACGGAAAAGACACCTCTTGCCAAATGGCCTCACAGCGACAACACGACCAGCGACACGTGTCGCTGCCTCGAAGCAGCCACATGGTCGACCGCCCAACGAAAGTCATGAAGGACCTGATACGTACGTTTTTCTCGGGTTTCTGAGTCCGTTCAATGGGTCAACCTCGAGTGGCGCTGCGCAAACGGTGCCAAAGGAAAAGGCCCCGAAACCTCCTCTGTTCCCGGAAAAGGCCCAAACAGTACTCCATGACAGTTGCAAGGACCACCTAGCACTTCCAATGGTAATGGGTGCCCAATAATGGAGACCTATAAGATCCTATAAGTAGGGTATAGGTAGTCCATTGGACCATTGGACACCCAGACAGGATGGTCCTGGCAGGTGAAAACTGGCGGAACATCGGACATCAGACCGGTCGCACGGACGGACGCGGACCCACACCGCCCACACCTTCGGTCATGGGACACCCTATGAGCGCATGGCACTCCATCTGTCACTGGAAGCCAACCAGGTCACCTTCAAATCTGGCTCCCTTTTGGGAGATGCCAATCGCTTGTGCTCAGCCCACCCGCGCGAAGCTTCACCGAATGCCCGTGAAGCTTCGGAACGTCGCCTGTGTCCGTCACGCCAAGGCGCTCGTGATGTTGTCCTGGGCGAGGTACGGAAGAGGCACTGAAGCCAAGTGTTTTGCTGGTGGACATGCTTATTGCTCTACCATGCAGGACCTTCCGAAGGAATCGAACGACCTGAAATGAGATCCGCTGAGGTCACGAACAGGTCTTGATCAAGTCACTGACAGGTCACTGGGAAGGTCCTGGCACCAGTTCATTGCAAAAATGGCCGCTCTTCGTCCCATCCGAATGTTCGTGAAGAACACCGGCCCCTCCGGACTCGGAACCGGCACCACGACATGGAACTGCTGGAAGAGACTGGGGTTAGTTTACTAAATCCTACATGAACATGCTTGTTTTCCGAAAGGTGCCCCGATCGAACCTCTGAAGGACCTCCCGGAGGTGCACTAGGGAAAGAAATGCAAGGAATGACCCATCAAGATGATCTGAAACTAGATATGAATGAGAAAATTGCATTTTGGAGGCTTAAGAAGATTTGATGTCACACTTGAAACGAGCCGTCAGGTTGCTTTTTTTTGAATGTTGGTGACAGCAGTGTTATGGCCCCTGCCTGTTTGGCGTTGTTGGACCCTCTATACTGATGTAAGGTTGTTTTATGTGACCACACAACAGTCATGACGTTCTGTGTAACAGAGTAACTGGGTGGGTG